CACTCTAGTGATTTGGGACTCGAACCCAAACACTAGAGGGTTGGGACTCGAACTCAACCTCCGTATATGCATCTATGGATGGTATCACCCAGGATGCCAAGCATGACTCTTTATGCTGGTGCACCAATTTATACTCAAAGTGCGCTACGGATCACAGCTTAGGAACCTAGTTCTTTTACACTATCAAGTCCTCTCACTTAACAAGTTTATGATCATGCATGGACTCCTCCATGCTTAGCCCCATAGGCAGCCCTTTTTTTAAGTTAGCACTTTCAACTAAGGTACTTGTTCCCCTGATTTGCTAACCTCGCTTAGCAAGTCATCCGACTACCGTAACATGGTTCATGCATAAGCGTGAAAGTCCTTGATCATCAACTTTCGTTCAAAGCCATCCTTTTGAACACTCGGGAACTACTTCCTTAACCTTGATAGCCTTGCCTTATGGTAAGTTTCAAGACCACGCTTCTGCTGTGCCACTCTAATTTCGTGCATACCATTTACACTTGGCTTTTCTAGGTACTAAGTTATCTAGAATTGTCTTTGAGAAATTTAAAGGAACTTTGTCCCTTAGCTTGCTAAGGCCTCTCATTTCGCCACGGTTGCTAGTAATAATATGCTTGAGCGCGCACTTGATTTTCCACTCCCAACTTACATAACTAACCTTAGTTACGCCCTTTGATTTCTATGGTTCAGTTCTATCCACTTAATATTTGTTTTTTGGCCTCATACATTTCCTTTAGTTATTTTCCTCTACAATAGAAGGATAGCTTTGTCTTTTTTACCATACCTTAGCAAGTATTTTTAGGGATGAACCTACCCGATAGTCTAGGGTGGTTCTTCAATCCGGGTATGCTCACCTTGTAATTCCACATAATGGGATTAACATTGCTATATATAAGCCTTTATATGCCCATCACTAACCTTGCCAAAATCCCATTTTGGCTTTGTTTAATTCGGGTAGACGGACTTCTCCCATCTTCGCAACTTTGGACATTTGGATAGCACCTCCTATCCTTTATTCGCTAGGGATTTAGTCCCTTGGACCTTATCTATTGCCCTCATGACACCAAACACCACCTCCTAGTATTCTAGAGTGTTTGGGTGTCCCAATGATGGCCCCTTTGACAATGAGCATTTTTTTTACGACATTGATTTACTATATTTCAACATAAGCAATTTATCCCCCATAAGGGTATATTTAATTTCTTTATCCCAATAAAAAGTCTTGTTAGTTACCTTCTACCAGCTTAACCAATTATTTTGCACCTTTTGCTTAGTTGCCTTATAGTTGTCAAGTCTTACAACTCATTGTTGGTGCTTTCACACCTCCATCATTATTTAGGTCACCACACTTCAATTGCATGCCTTCTAACTTAGGCTATGCCATTCTTATTTCTATTAGAATTCTTTTGGGAAGGGGTTCTCATGAACCGACCAACTTGACCTCAAGGCATCACGCCTTGGCACATTCGGTGTTTCCACATTGTTGGCTCCATGAGTTTACATTTATGACACTTCTTTCTCATGTTTAAGTCCTTGCTAAAACCAATACAATTCTTTCTCATGCTAACTATTTATTAGCACTACACTATAGAGTTTATACACCATTTTGTGTCAAAATTGTTTTCTCTAAGAACACATTTTCCATGACTTTAGTATGACACATTCCACCATCAATGAGATAACCACTGTTCTCATATTTGGATCGTATAATCTTCCCCATCCTTCGTAAGGCACAACACACCTCAGTCCAAATGCTTTTATTAATCCTTTAAAACTATTCCTTGACTCCATTCAAGTCATTCAACTTTTGGACTTTAGTAATCCCATGACCCATAGGGTCCTACTTTTGAGATGCTAGCTCATTGGAATACAATTTCTTGTATTCATGTCTTACTCACAAGGACCACCATTACAAGTGTTATTCCAACACTTGATTATTTTTCATTCTTTGTGGGCTACCTTTGCCCCTTGGGACTATCTGTTCTTACGATGAAAATACTGATTCATCCTCTAAGTACACCCTAACTCCTTGGGTTTGTTCCAACATTTATAAAAGGTAGCCCCAGCTACCATTTCAAGGACTTGTGTCCTCATTTAACCTCTCATAGTCATTAATTCCGCTTTCAAATTCATGAGCACCAGCCTCAACTATATAAGGATAATTTTGTGACTCCTTTATTGTTTTGGAGTCTTTAGCTTTCCCGCGATCCCAACTATAGTTGCTTACCACAACTATATCTGCCAGTTTTCTTAGTCAAATGCTTATCTAGATCACATCCTCAACTCTCTAAGGAAAACTTTATACTGTTCCCAAGATCCCAAAGTCGTTCCTTTATTGGCCTTTTTCTATCCACCACCTTGCCTACAAGTTCACACATGAACTATAGTGGAGAGCCATATCCTCCCAACCTGCTACTCCTCAATGATAAGCCCACTCCTTGGACCTTCTAATGCTAATACAAGTGGTGATATACTTGAGCAGCAATAAAAGTCAAACTAAGGAATAGTTCCAATACCAAATTGTAAGTGACTAAATTTTTCATTCTACTTTAGTCACTTAACCACACCATCAACCACATGGAGGAGTCTCACTCACAACTTTCATAAGTTCTATTCCGAACTTGGGGTTTGCTATCCTTGAGAATGGCATCTCTACCACTCAACCCTTGCACTTGGTCCAAGTGCTCCATGTGTCTAGTCCCATGGCCGGCACTCAAAGGTACCACAAATATATCAGCCCATTACACTAAAGCCATGCCCAATCACCTTTGCCACACTGGTGGTCCAATACCACCTGCATCACAGTCCTATCTCTCCAAGACTAGGTCATCCGTCCATGAGTGGTCACCTTAGATCCACTCCTTAGCATCCTTAAGATGTTTACAAACATGGGGAATAGCCTTCCCTAATATCCCTTTTTTAGTCCCCACCAAATCCCTTTTTGTCCATGGCTATGTTTGTCAACATTGCCACTGGAACAAGGCTCACAGGCCCGACCTCTAAGTCCCATTATCCTTTGGGACTTCCTCACCATGTGACCATATCTTTAGTCCTCTTCCTTTTCACAGCTTAGGACTTTGGGATAACATTTCAAAACACCGTGGCCTTACGCAAGCCTTATGGGTACTCTCCCCACTTTCCGCCTTTGGGTGTTCTAACCATGAGCTTAGAGCGAGGTTCCGTTGAGCCACGCTAGATATCCAAGTAGATAGTGCCACCCATGCTTGGACTGGGAGCATCGACCATTTGATCTCCCCAGGGAACTAGAGCTGACTCTTGAACACTTCACCAGGCTACCCCACTTGTCAGTCTGTATTCACTTTAGCCTTAGACTTCCCAATGGTTATCCCATCACCTAACACTTCGGTATAACCTTCCTTGGCCAAACTAGCTTCATTGGAGTGCTCGCCCTATTATACTTTTGGAGCTTACCAAACCCTAAGGTTTGGGAGACAAATGCTTTGGGCTTTCACCCTTGGACTCGAACTTGAATTCGGACTCGGCCTCGGCCTTTGTCTCGGTCTCAGTCCTGGTCTCGGTCTCAGTCTCAGTTTTGGTCTTAACCTTGGACTCCATCTCAGGTTCTTCTTGGACTCCATCTTGAACTTCATCTCGGTCCATCTCAGACTCCATCTTGGGTCCATCTCTGGTCCATCTCAGACTCCATCTTGGGTCCATCTTGGGTCCATCTCGGACTTCATCTCGGGTCCATCTTAGACTCCATTTCGGGTCCATCTCGGACTCCATCTCAGACTCCATCTCGGGTCCATCTCAGACTCCATCTTGGGTCCATCTCGGACTCCATCTTGGGTCCATCTTGGGTCCATCTAAGACTCTATCTTGGACTCCATCTCGGGTCCATCTCAGGTCTATCTTGGACTCTTCCACGTGTCATGTGTTGGTCCTTTTATGTCCCTTTTTTAAAGACTCACTTATTACTCGCTTCGTGCTTGTTCTTTGAGCACTTCATTGAGAGTTCCACTCTTGCTCTCGACCTTTCAAGTCAGAGCTTTTAGTCCAAACATGTTACACTCATTTGGCTTTCGCTTCAGCCACTACCATGTAGCACCCTTTCAGCTCCATTTTGGGGTTTAGGGATTTATGTGTCACAAATTGCGCATAAACTTTCTTGGACATATAGTTGGTGGTGGCATAATTAAAATGGATCCAAAGAAGGTGGAAGTGGTGAAGTCCTAGGAAATCCCAATTACTGTATTAGATGTTCATTCCTCTCTCAGTTTGACGGGATATTATTGCAAGTTTGTTTGCAATTTTGCAAGTATTGTTCTTCTATTGACTAAATTAATGAAGGGTAGTATTCAGTTTTATTGGACACAAATTTGTCAGCGTGCTTTTGTACGGTTGAAGGAGATTTTGACTACGGTTTTTGTTCTTAGGATTTCAGATCTTGATAAATTAATGAAAGGTAGTATTCAGTTTTATTGGACACAAATTTGTCAGCGTGCTTTTGTACGGTTGAAGGAGATCTTGACTACGGTTTTTGTTCTTAAGATTTCAGATCTTGATAAATTCTTTGAAGTGCATTGTGATATATCTAGTTATATTATTGGTGCTGTGTTGTAGCAAAATTGTGATTGTGTGCTATAGTGGCAATGTTAAAATATTAGAGACATTATTTATGTGGACATACCAAGGTTTATACAGATAATAACATATTGAGCTACTTTGTTATATAGTTAAGGCTTACATGAAAGTAAACTCACTAGCCAGAGAAGCTCACTAAATTTAATGTTAAAATCATTTATAAACCTAATAAAGATAATATGTGGTTTTCACCTTTACCCTATGGTATTAAAATCATTTATAAACCTAATAAAGATAATATTATTCCAAATGCATGTGGTTTTCACCTTTACCCTATGGTGAATAACCATAGGATAACTATAAACCTTTTATATACCACATGTCATATGCCACATGTCTTGGAGTAAAACCCAAATTTCAGGGCCTTGGGCCACAAAACGAAGAATACAGCATGAAGAATGGAATACTTTCTTGCAATGTCCAACTCAAACATTGAAAAAAACTCTTGCAACTACAGCACTTACACTTGGCTTGACACTACAGTAGCACCCTACACGCTAAGCTTTATCGTAGAGAAGAGTGATTTACCGACTACATGTCTTGAATTCTTTCAGTTCCAAAAAGGGGCCTGCTTGCAATGTCTTCTCTTGTCCTTGAGAACTTGAGAAAGAGAAAACACATCTCTTTTCTTCAATGATTTTGATATTCCGCCAGACGAGCAGAAAGCCGTTGCTCTCTAAACTCCTCAAGAGCAATCGCTAGAAAAACAAACCTAAGTAAGAGCCAAGCAAACAAAGCCCAAATCTTACTTACAAATGCCCTGGAGAGTTTCCCAACTCAAAACCCCGGCCAGCTTCAGGTCACCAAGGGTGGCAGCACGCTCCATAGCCACCATCTTCAAACACGCCATGGCTATCTATTAGCAAAGCTTCACTAAAGATCACCTCAAAAAAAAAAACAAGGAGAGATTTTAACCCACCACTGCGCCACAAACTCTTTCCGCCCACAACTCCCCCTCTTCATTCAAATACTTGTCCAAATTCGCAGGTCCCGGGGAAGAATTAGGGCTCGTAGTCTTCCCCTTCCTCGCCCCAGGGCCCAGCTTCGCGAAGCATGCCCGCTTGTGGATGGCGTGCGATCGCCTGCGCTTCTCCATGGGAAAGCCCTAAAATCAAAACCCCATAGAACCCTAAAATCTTCGTACTCCGTGTCAATGAAAGAGTCCATTTTGTATTCCATGCACTCTTAAAAAATCGGAGTGTGGGCGATCGGGTTGGACTTCTGGAAACAAAAAGACAAGGGAGGAATTTGCATTGAGCCAATTGACTCAAGTGTTGGGCTTGACTAAGCCTCCTCAATGCCAGCGTTTTCCCAAAATTTTCTAAAGCATCCTCCATTTATCCGGTGTCCAGGACTCCTTCACAAAGATCCCCCTAAACTTACGATCAGATGAGACCCAAGCTTTTCGAGAAGAATTCAATCACTCCTTGCTGGAGGAAAGATCTCAGTTGCTTGCTGCGTTGCGTGCCTTCGATCTGTGAATACAAAGAATCATGTACCTGGACGTTTGGGTTGGAGAATTTCGATTCTTTCCAAACTACAAATGTGTCAGCTCCACAGCCAGCCAGCAACTGATTATATCACCCCTGGCTGCCCGTCAAAGCTCCAAGTGCGTGGCTCGGCTGGGAGCCACAGGCCTGTGAGCCGTCGATTTGGGGCCGAGCTGTTACGCCGGTATCCGTCAGATCGCCGCCCACGTGGTTCTTGCCGGACAGTTCGCGCCAGGTAACAAATGGGGCATTTAAGAATTATGTCCAGCTAGACCACGTCATAGGCGGAAAAGTCCGACGTGGCGGAGGAGAGTGACACATCACCGAGGAAGAAAGATAACTCTCTCTCTCGCGGCTCCCTTGCTTTGCTTCTGTTGGTACTGGCACGAAAAAATTTGGCCGGAGGACGAGGAATTTGGAATGAATGAAGGAGCAGTGACCAGCAAGGCCGCCGGTTACAATTAATTCAGTCATAGCGATCGATCGCCCGCGCTACCACACATCCTCCGAGAGCTAGCTAGGCAGAGCTTAGCTATGGTGGATTTGAGGTAGAATCCACTCGGCTATGGTGGATTGAGGAGCGCTAGATGGTCGCTGGCTCTTCGTGAGAGGAGTGATACTTGACTCAGCGATGAAGGTCCGACCTGAGGTCCAAGGTGAGCGAGCGATAGATCGATGTGTTCTTGGCGCTGATTCGTTCGTATCGCTTTGTTCTTGCCAGATGCTTGGATCCAGCTCCAATCGATTTGCTCCACCCGGTTCCAGTCCTCCTGGGCGGTGCTACCGCGCACCGAGAACGCGATCACTTGCATCCTCAAGCTCGCCTTCTTCTTCGCCTTCGTGATCGTCCACATCGCATCGCGCAAGAACACTGGATCCAGGAGGAGGTCGCGGTGGTCGATCGTGGTGGGCGTTCTAGCGAGCCTGGTCGCGCTCGCCCAGCTCGCGGTGCTGCTATGGCTGCTCGCGACCGAGTGGCCGGTCGATTCCATCGTCTGGGTCTTCTGGCTCGCCCAGACGATCTCGTGGGGCGGCGTGGGCTACTCGGCGATGGCGTCCGGCGTTCGTCGCGCCGCGAAGGTCACAGCTTGCGTCTGGTGGATCGCGATGTTCGTGATGAACACGGTGATCACGGCGTGGACGATCGCGGTGCTCGTCCGGGAGTCCTCGTCGGCACTCACGGTCTATGGCATTCTCTCCATCGCGGCGTGGCCGGTGTGCTGCGTCCTCCTTGCGGCGGCGGCGGTGAAGCTCCGCGAGATCTGGAGCGGGCAAGAACAGCGCGACGAGGAGCGCGATCTCGCGACGCCGCTGCTCAACGGCGATGGCGGAGTAGAGATCCCCGAGAAGAATGTGACGCCGCTAGCGACTGCGGGATTCTGGAGCCAGCTCTCCTTCTCGTGGATGAATCCACTGCTCGACCTCGGCCATTCCAGGCCGCTGGAGCTCCAGGACATCCCCGATCTTCCACCGGAGTATAGCGCCCAGACCAATCACCTCGATTTCGCGCAGCGCCTGGAGCTCCAGCGCAAGCACGGCGCCAGGATCTCCGTCTTCAAGGCGCTGGCCGGATGCTTCGGCAAGGAATTCCTCTACACCGGATTCCTGGCGCTCGTAAGAACCCTAGCGCTCTCCTCCTCGCCGCTCTTCACGTATTTCTTCGTGCGCTCGGTGGCAAAGCCCCAGGGGGAAAAATTAGGGTTCTTCCGGGTCGAGGGCTTCGCCATCATCCTCGGCCTCACGGCCGCGAAATTCCTCCAGTCCATCTCGCAGCGGCACTGGAGCTTCCAATCGCGCCTCGTCGGCGCGCGCCTGCGATCGGCCGTCATCGCCGAGGTCTACGAGAAGCAGCTCCGGCTCGCGAATTCGGCCAAGCAGCGCCATGGCGCGGGCGAGATCGTGAGCTACATCGGCGTGGATGCGTACCGGCTGGGGGATTTTGCGTGGTGGATGCACTATACATGGACGCTCGTCCTCCAGCTAGGGATCGCCATCGGCATTCTCGTAGGGACGATCGGATTGGCGACCCTGGCGTGCGTTGCCGTGCTCGTCGTTACGGCGTGCATCCAGATCCCCACCAGCCGCCTCCTCCAGCGCGCGCAGACGAATTTCATGGTCGCGCAGGACAAGCGATTGAGGGCTACCACGGAGATCCTCACCAGCATGAAGATCATCAAGCTCCAGGCGTGGGAGGAGGAATTCAAGACGCTGATCAAGCAGCACAGGGAGGAGGAGCTCCAGTGGCTGGGATCCATGCACGGCAAGAGGAGCGTCTCGCTCATCACGTTTTGGTTTAGCTACACGGTGGCGGTCGCGGTTGCTCTTGCCGGGTATGCCTTTCTCGGGAACAAGCTCACGGCCGCGGTGATCTTCACGGTCTTCTCGGCGTTTGGGAACACGCAGGAGCCCGTGAGGATCGTCCCCGAGCTTCTAGCGATCATCACCCAGGTGAGTTCTCATCGTCCATCTTTCCTTTAATTTTTTTTGAAAGTCGCAACTTCGTTCTTTAGATTTTTAGATCATACACTGGGCTGTTCATGCTTGTCCACGTTTCCTGGTTTCTTTGTCATTGCATCGTTTTCCTGTCAGTAGGATTCGTCCGCTGATGTGTCAACTTTTCCATGGATCTTGTGTTGACGACTTGCAATTTCTTTCTTTTAATTGCTCTCACGTTTTCCTTCTTCCAGGTGAAAGTCTCGCTGTTAAGGCTCGGGAGGTTCCTCCAGGACGAAGAAGTTGATACAAACGCTGTCGATCGGAGGTCTCTCAAGGGGAGCGACGTTGTTGTGCGCGCGCGAGGGGGATTCTTTAGCTGGGATGGTTCACACCCGAGCCTCAAGAATGCAAACTTTGAGATACATCGCGGTGATAAAGTGGCCATTTGTGGTGCTGTTGGCTCTGGCAAGACGTCGTTGTTGTCCGCTTTACTCGGAGAGATTCCCAAGATGTCTGGAACAGTAAGTTAATGTTCTATTTACGTTTGACGAATCTTTCTTTCATTGTGTTTTTTTTTTTTTTCTTTCTTTCCTGTAGGTGCAACTCTATGGGACAGTGGCTTATGTCTCTCAGTCTGCATGGATCCAAACTGGCACGATAAGAGACAATGTGGTATTTGGCAAACCTTATGACGAGCAGAAATACCAGAACGTTCTCAAGGCTTGCGCTCTTGAATCCGACTTGAAGATACTTCCGCATGGTGACAAGACTGAGATTGGCGAGAGGGGGCTAAATCTCAGCGGTGGCCAGAAGCAGAGAATTCAACTTGCTCGGGCGGTGTATTACGACTCGGATATCTATTTTCTGGATGATCCTTTCAGTGCTGTGGATGCTCACACAGCTGCAACTCTCTTTCATGTAAGTTCCTGAGATTTCTTTTCTGGTTTACTAAAGGGGTTTTAACAGGATTGTGTTATGAAAGCATTGGCTGGTAAAACTGTGTTGCTCGTTACTCATCAAGTAGAGTTCCTACCTGCGGTTGACAAGATTTTGGTGAGTGTTTTGATTTTTCAGAATTATAAGCTCAAGCTCACAAACGACTTCCGTGTGCAGGTGATGCAAGATGGCGAAGTCTTACAGAGTGGTAACTATGACGAACTAGTTGAGTCAGGTCTCGCGTTTGAGAAGCTTGTCAATGCTCACAAGGAGGCTTTGGATAACTTCAACAATCAGCAGCAGGAGCAGCAGATGAGTGAAAGCAAATCTAACAAGGACCCTGAGTTCAAGAGGCACATCAGTATCGTAAGAAGGAATTCCAGCAAAAAGCAGCAAGATCATAGCGAATCGTTCACGGCTTCTCAACTGACCGAGAAGGAAGAGATGGGGGTTGGAGACCTGGGTCTCCAGCCTTACAAGGATTATCTGACAATCTCCAAGGCGAGATTTTTCTTCATTGTGGATCTAGTCGCGCAGGCGGGTCTGGTTGCTGGTCAGGCTGCCGCAAGTTTATATCTCGCAATCCAGGTTCAGAATCCGGACATCAATGCGAAGCTGCTTGTTGGTGGATACACTTTGATCTCCTGGTCGACGAGCTTTTGTTTTATCATAAGGATGAGAGCTCATATTGCTATGGGGCTTAAGGCTTCTAGGGAGTTCTTCTACAGATTGATGGATTCTCTGTTCAAGGCGCCAATGTCCTTCTTCGATTCAACACCGACAGGAAGGATTCTGAGCAGGGTAAGTCTCGTTTTTACCTTTTACCTTTTTCCGTGAGCTTACGGGTGAGTCTGGATCAGGCCTCGAATGACATGAGTTTACTGGACATCGACCTCAACCAAATCTCGAACATCATAATCGGGTTCCTGTTTGATCTTCCCAGCGTTTTCATCATACTGATTTACGTGGTCTGGCCGTACTTCGTCTTCGTCATACCGATGTTGTACATGATCAAACGAGTCGAGGTAACTGTTGTTAGTTTTTAATTTTGTTGTTGGCGCTAAAATTTGTGATTTGGCAGAAATATTTCCGCTCCACTGCACAGTCGCTCATGAGGCTGAACGCTATGACGAAAGCACCAATTGTCAACATGTCTGGCGAGACTATTAACGGCGTTACTTCGATTCGAGCTTTCGGAGTAGCAGACGAGTTCAGGCAGAAGAACTTGGTCCTTCTCGACAAGGATGTTTCTCTATATATGCATAACTATTCGGTGATGGAATGGCTTGTGCTACGTGTAGAATCGTGCGGGACTGTGCTGCTGTGCATTTTTGGTATAATGCTGTCGACTTTCGACATCGGCCCAGGTATGTAAAACTCCATCCCACATCCATGTATCACAACCGTTTCATGTATTTTCAGGCCTTGCTGGTATGGGACTTTCGTATGGAGCTCTCGTGAACATTAGTCTTGTGGTTCTCACACAATGGTACTGCCAGTTAGCCAACACCATTGTCTCAGTCGAGCGTATCAAGCAATACATGAATGTCCCAGTTGAGGCTCCACCTATTATTGAGAACAACCGACCACCTCCTGAATGGCCTAGCAAGGGAGAGATCGTACTGGAAAAACTTCAGGTAATAAAGCTATTTCAGTCCGAGCATTCCAGTCCGAGCATGACGCGAAACATTTTTTTTAGATCCGGTACCGGCCAAACTCGCCTCTGGTGCTCAGAGGAATCAGCTGCACCATTCAAGGAGGCCACAAAGTTGGTGTTGTTGGGAGAACCGGCAGTGGGAAGACGACGCTGATTGGAGCTTTGTTTCGTCTTGTGGAGCCAGTCGGTGGAACAATTCTAATCGACGGAATCGACATATGCTCTATCGGGCTTCGGGATTTGCGAACGAAGTTGGGGATCATACCTCAGGAACCAACGCTCTTCCGTGGAACAGTACGGTCGAACTTGGATCCGCTCGGTTCTTATTCTGACCAGGAAATATGGGAGGTAAGTTTGTTTCAACCTTTTTTTTCTTTGTGTTAAGCAGAATTTTCTTCAGACTCTTGACAAATGTCAAATGGGTGACGTGATCCGATCACTGCCGGAACAGCTTGAATCAGGAGGTACTATAAAGTCTCCATTTTCCCCTGGTTTTGTTAATGACATGCCTTTGTAGTGGCTGATGAGGGTGGAAACTGGAGCGCGGGGCAGAGGCAGCTGTTTTGTCTCGGTCGTGTTCTCCTCCGACGGTCGCGAATTCTGGTTCTGGACGAAGCTACGGCCTCTATCGATTCAACCACGGATGCAGTCCTCCAGAAAGTCATAAGGGAGGAGTTTGCTTCGTGCACCGTGGTGACGGTCGCTCACAGGATACCAACGGTGATTGACAGCGATAGAGTTATGGCACTGCACGATGGTAAGTGGTAGTTTTTTTGTCTCTTTTGTGCTCTCGGATTTCTAAACCTCGAAAACCGAACAGGTCGATTGGCAGAGTACGAGAGTCCTCAAAAGCTTCTCCAGAATCCGGACTCTCTGTTCGCAAAGCTTGTCAAAGAGTACTGGGCTCAAAGCGGTGGTGGCAAGTGAGCGCCGTTTTTGTTGTCACTGAGGTAGTGTAGGAACGTCGTGAGTTCAATAAAATAGAGTCAGAACACGGCGATAATCTTAGCAAAAATTTTCTCGTTCTCATTTATTAAAAAGGTTTAATTCCGGTGGATAGATTGTGATAATATATTTTACTAAAATAGTGCTTCCTTTTTGCTATCCCTTTGAAAGTACTGTATATATTGAACGCTTTCTTTTCCTAGGGCAGCGTTAATGGATTCAAAGAGCCAAGGTCCAAAGTGGTTGCCAATGCTGATTTCCTTGGCTCGCATCACGCGGCCCGAGAATCAACTGGGCCTGAAGTGCGTGTGCTCTCGCACCTTCAAGAACTTCTGCACTCGCTGCGAGGACGTCGTCTGCGATGCGTGCCATGACGACAACCCCCACGAAATCGTCAAGATCCTCAAATCCTCGCGGCAGATGTCCATCAGGGTCGATGAGATCAAACACCTCCTGGACGTGAGCGACGTGCAGTGGTACTACTGCAACTTCAAGTTCGGCGTTTACATCGACCGCCCCACGTCCAACCAGCAGAGCCCGCAGGGGAAGGCCCAAATCTGCATCTCGTGTGGCCGGAGGCACTCCACCGGCAAGGAAAAGCACCGGACGCCCGAGGAGATCGCGGATCTGGAAAACGGGAAGTTCAAGTTTTGCAGCATCGGGTGCAAGCTGAGATACATTGTGCAGCATCCGGGCGAAGGCTACACCCTTACGCTCGACTCGAGGTCTGCATCGAGCAGCAGTTTTCGAGGACAAACATTGCCAGTTTCTGAGATGAGATCAGACGACGCTGGGATGGAGATCTCGGAGGAGATTGTTGGTCTCAGCCTCAGCCTCAGCCTCAGCCTCGCCACTGGTGGAAAGAGAAAAGGTGGCAGGGGGGAGGTTGTCAGAAGTCCTGCGGGAAAGCTTGCCAAGCTGAGGGATAGCGCAAATGTGGAAGGAATTGAGCTGGGCATGGCTCCTCCGCCACTGAGCAATCATTATGCAAGGCAGGAAGTTGTGACAAGTTTTACTTCCAAAGGGGATCTTTCTTATGTGCAACTTCAGCCCTCTGGTGAAACAAATGAGGTATTGGATCTATTTCCAGCATTAAAAGTAAATGGAATAACTTGTTAAACAATCCTCATAAAGGTGCAGAAAAGGTCAAATCTGACGTCCAAGATCTTGTTGGGGGTTATGGGAAGCAGCAAGACTGTGCGAATGGGCAGAAGAATCGGTTGTGGACGTGCTTGGCACATTCCACGTCCAAAGTTTGTTGAAAACAAAGAAAAGTTTGTCAACTTTTTTGTGAGCTCCAATAAAATCACGTCAGCAAACTATTGTACTTTTCAATGATGTTAATACTCGTGAAAGACGAGACACCGGGTTCCACCTTCGGCAACCAGAGATTATCCACGATACGTACTGTCAAGCGCAGCTCAAATAATTTGAGAAAAATACTAAACAGCAGGGAAAGCATGACTTTTTTCACAATATTGGTAAAAGTAATCTAGGTTCACTCAAGTCTCAGGTGGGCACGACAGCCTAGGGTAAACAATCGTCACCCAGATTTTTATGTCTATAGTAATTAAGATTTTTTGAATATTAGATTTTGAAACCAATCCTGTTCATTAGATAAGCTATACAACTAGAGTAAACTTTTCCAGGTAGTAATTGATGTGAAGAGCATTTTTAAGTAGTCTCTGTGTCTGCCTTTTTATAGTAAATTATTTGATTGAGCTGTTAAAATGAATATTTAAGTCTTCTTGAGATACATAGTCATTGCTATTATTCCAAAAGTTATTAAGTAAAAAAAAACAGAAAAAGTGAAAAGTAATCAGAATTTTTCTTGTATCTTTTTATTATAATATTAATTTTAAAACCTAGTTTACTATTAGTATATTTATTTAAACAAATTTATATTATTTTAATAAACAAATTATCATCAGATATATACATGTAAATATATAAATTATCTAGATAAACATTTATATTTAAACTAGTATAATCATATATTCATTTTTTTTTTCTTTAATATGCTTCAATTTTCTCTTCAAGTACATAAGAATTGCATTACAAAATAAATTAAATATAAATTTTAAAATATTAATAAATTAAATTAATTTTATATATAGAAGTGAATTAACTTGGTGATTCATTCTTTTGTAACATTGTTTTCTTCATTTTACTATTAACTAGAATTCGTTATATCCTGACCTTTAAAATAACCTTTTGTGTTAAAGCCCTAAAACAGAGCACCTAAAATAATCTGGTGGAGCCCTAATTCCTATTTCCATGGCGGAGTCCTCCGAGATAGCACGCCACGGGCGTCTTTGAGGAGACGATCGGGAGATCCGAGAGGTAGGGACAACAAGGGGACGCCGTGGATGGATCGCGGCCTCTAGGACGCCAGCCATGAAGAAGAGGCCGTCGATATTTCACCGATGGAAGTGGAGGATCTCCGTGCTCGCCTTGTTATTCTTCCTAGCGCTGTGCGGTCTCAGATTTCCATCTTCCCCGGGCACAATGCCGATGCCCGCGGCCAGCATTCGTGCCACCGTGCCTGAGAAGATCGGTGCGCCGAGGATCGCTCTCTTGTTTCTAGCTCGCAATCGTTTAGCTGTTGAAGAAGTTTGGGACCTTTTCTTCAAGGTATAGATTGTCTTGCGCATTTTCCTTTCTTCGTTTACAGTCACAGCACAGTTGCTCATTCTTTTTTCTTGTTCTTCTCTCAGGGTGCTCAAGAACACTTGTATAGCATCTATATTCACGCTCGGCCTGGATTTGTCTACGATGCCACAAACACCGAGTCTTCTTTCTTCTGGAACCGGCAGATCAACAATAGTGTCATGGTAGCATCACCTTTTCTTCCTTTTCTTTTTCACCCATTTGATCACATCATTTTTGCAGGTGGAGTGGGGTGAGGCGAGTATGATCGATGCTGAGCGTATTTTACTTCATAGAGCTCTACAGGATGCTTCTCTTTCTCATTTTGTTTTACTGTCCGATAGGTGACCTTTTTGTTTTTCGACGCTGCTTCATTCTGATCAGTTTTATCTCGCGATGTTCCAGCTGCATACCTCTATACAGTTTTAATTACATCTATAAGTATATAACTTCGTCTCCGAAGAGTTTTGTTGACAGGTAAATGCGACACACTCTACATGTTATGAACACCGGTTTTCTTTTTCTATCAGTTTTATCGAAAGCAAGAACACACGCTATAACTTTCGCATGTTTCCGACTGTTACACATGAGAAATGGAGGAAAGGATCACAGGTAAGCTCCGCAAGCGTTATTCGGAAGTTTGACTGTGTCCTTTCCTCCTTCGACACAGTGGTTCATGCTCCTGAGAAAGCACGCAGAGATTGTTGTTGGGGACTCTAGGATACTGCTGAAATTCTACGAGCATTGCAAGGTAGAGTACTTATAAGTGCCACCATGGATCTTTGTCGAGTTAGAGCATTTCGAAGCTAGTTTGTGAGCTCCTTTGCAGAGGTTCTCGCAACTCAAGCAAAAAGCGGTCTCAAATGATCAGCATAAGGTTAGCTTAAGCACGAAGAGGAAGCATGCAATGAAACAGGATATTTGTCGTCGTTGTTTATTTGTTTTTTTACTGAAAAAAGTTTGTGATCGCAGCGGGATATGCAACCACAAGCTGGAAGGAAATATGGAATGGTATGGCGGCTGCTTGTTTTCACTCTCACATATGGGATGCTTTTTTGCAGACTAGTTCGGAAAACGACTGCGTTCCGGATGAGCATTACATCCAGACCTTGTTGGCGGTGTGTTTGACGCTTGCTCCTCGTGTCTTGCATTTTAACTCTATACTTTATTATAGATCAAAACAGTGGAAAACGAGATCGAGAGGAGAACGCTGACTTACACACTCTGGAAGGCATCTGACAGACGCGAGAACGATCGTTGGCATCCGGTAACCTTCAACACAGCAGACGTCTCCGCACAGACAATCAAAGACATTAAGGTGTGTTATCTCGTTTAGCATGGCAACTTAGACACTGGAAAACCGTTTTCAGGGAATTCACAGCATCAAGTATGAAACGGAAGGCCGGACGGAATGGTGTAGCTGCAATGGCATTCCCAGAGCCTGCTTTTTGTTCGCTAGAAAGTTTTCGAGAGGAGCAGTGTCGAAGCTCCTGCACAATGTAAGTAGAGCTTTTATGGGCTTTGATTTGCTCGGGGCTAACAGCGCATTTGCAGAACGAGACTGACTTTTTTGGATTCGCGGCGGGTGAGATCGCCGAAGGAACTAATAACATCACGGCAATGGTTACCGGCGTAGAACAGGCAAGGAGTTTGAGCCTGTGATATAATGCAGATGGAAGCTAAGTAGGAGGCGAGGAAATGGAAGAGGACGAGGTCCAAGAGCGTGCGTGGGGTTCTACTCTTCACTCTCGTTACGCTCGGATGTGTAGAATCGGCAAATTTATAGCGATGGAAGAAAAGACAAGGTTGGGAGCTAGCAAAGAAAATCACAGCTTTGAGAGTGTCAAACTCTCAAATCTGCCCGTCAGCGCCCCGAGGAGAAGCCATTGAATCGTCGAAGGGAAGGAGTGACTGGCCGGAAGAAGAAGGTGTCACAGGTGATATCACTCGAGAGAAACAACAAGGAACGGGGCTTTCATTTATGTTGGCAGTGACGGACAACGATCTATGCCAAGTCATAGTTTACAAAGAACCAAGAAACAAAAAGAAAGAAGAAGAAGAAAGAGAGTGACTTCTTTTTTGTCTACTGTCAAAAAGAAAAAAAGTGTAATGTATAAAAGAGAAGCTTCACGCGAAGAGTCGGGTCAAAAGATAAAAGGCACTTATGGTTTTTAGTCCACTGTCAAGGAATCAATGCCAGGTTAATTAGAAAGAGCTATGGAGTCAACAAAAGGAGGGTCCTATCTTCCCGGCGGCGCAGTGCCTTCCTCCTCCTTTCGCGGCTGCTAATCCGTGTGGAAACCACGACGGTGGGGCAATTTCTCCACCCAAATGGCATGGAGGAAAATGCTCGCCAGTGTGAGTGACAATCTATCATTCTAGGAAGAAGGTTCTATCATCCGCTCCGGAGAAGCGAGCGAAGGTTTGACTCCTCTCGAAGTCGGGGTTTGCGCGTGGGACACTTGCTCCTGGGGATGGTAGCGAATTCCGGGTGAGAGAAGTACGAACAGGGGAGTTTTCTGTTTCCGACTTGGATTCGAGGGGATGTTGTGCGCCATCGCGCTTCTCTTAGCTCTCGCGCTGTATGGCACCTCGGGCCAGGGATGCAAGCCTGGGAACTGTGGGCAGGTAGTGATCCCACCGCCGTTCTCTTGCGAAGACTCTCCATTCTTTCTCAGCTGTGAGGACGACAAGGTCCGCATAAGCAATGAAAGCTACACTATCGTTGCATTCCTTGCCCCCTTTGTGGTGGTCGACCGCTCGCCGCCGGCTCTTTGCGCGGCTCGTACTTGCCGGATCGATACTTCCTGCGGGATTCGAGTGATTGGAGAATGGCGCGACGGCCTTGGCTGCTACCCAACGCCTCCAGCCCCAGGGGACGAGTCTAGATATCACGCCGTGATCCAGTTCGATCGTCCAGACTATTCTTGCAACCCGGACCTCTTGCAGCTGCACCTGGCCACCGTCGTCAACTGCTCCCGGTCCGCTAGTCTAAGTTCTCCGAGCTTGGGCAGTGGGCGCACGAGCAAGACTCGAGCGATTGTTGGTACGCAAGAGAAACTTATCACTCTCTCGATCGAGCCTAAATCTATCTTTGTCTCTTATTAAAGGTGGCTCCGTAGGTGGTGGCTTGGGTGTCTTGTTCTTGCTGGGATGCGTGTGCTGCGTTGCGAGGCGGCGGCGGCTCGCAGCGAAGCAGCGAGGATTGATTCTGGGCGATGATCCAAAGCAGCCGCCGCCGCAGCTTCTCTCCAAGAGTGGCCGGATTGTCTACAGCAACAACAGCGGGAGCTATGGCACTAGCAACAGTTACGGTAGCAGCGTGAGCGTTACTGTGGAGAATGGCGATGGTGGGAGCAATAGCAGCCGGTTTAGCTACAGGGAGCTCCAGGAGGCGACCAACAATTTCTCCGAGGATGGCCGGCTCGGAGATGGAGGGTTTGGGACTGTTTACAAGGGGAAGCTCCGGGATGGCCGGCTGGTGGCCGTCAAGAAGCTCAATCCTTGGAATGCCCAGGGGAAGTACCAGTTTGACAACGAGGTTACCATCCTCTCTCGGGTAAGCTTACCTCGAGTTTTCATGACAAAATCTTTTCCATCTTTTCCATCTTTTCTTGGAAGAACTGCATGGTTTTTTTTGTTGTGTGTCCTCTCGTTCATCATCTTTTCATGAGTTGTCCTAGAATAAAGAATAGGATACGTACCTCGGACTTGATCTTTTCGTTTCAAGCACTCGTTTCATACATTGCCACTTTATTCTTCTTGACTTGCATTACTCCGACTTGTTCGTTTCATGCATTGTCACCTTAATCTTCTTGACTTATATTGCTTTGATCATATTTGATCTCGTACGCAGTCGTTCCCCTACGCACGAATCCTCCAGACTTGCTAACTTCAATCGTCTTTCCTACACAGGTAACTCATCCCCACCTCGTCCGGCTCTACGGCTGCTGCATCGAGCAGGAGCTCCTCCTCGTCTACGAGTTCGTGGCCCATGGAACTCTAGCCGACCACCTCTACGACAACCCGCGCGACTACCTCGGCTGGGACGCCCGCCTCACTGTCGCGGTCCAGTGCGCCGAGGCCCTCGCCTTCCTCCACACAAACGTCTGCTACCACCGCGACGTGAAGTCCACAAACATCCTCCTGGACGAGCGGTACCACTGCAAAGTGGGCGACTTTGGTCTCTCCCGCCTCGTCCCATCGCTGGAGCTCACGCACATCACCACCGCGCCACAGGGAACTCCCGGCTACTTGGATCCGGACTACCACCAGAGCTACCAGCTCACGGACAAGAGCGACGTCTACAGCCTCGGGGTGGTGCTCATGGAGCTCGTGTCGTCGCAGCGGGCGGTGGACATGGCCAGGGAGAGGAAGGAGATCAACCTGGCGGCGCTGGCGGTGTCGCGGATCCAGTGCGGCGAGCTGGACAAGCTGGTGGATCCGCGGCTTGGGGCGGGGGAAGATAGCGTGCGGCAGAGGATGGTGGAGTGCGTGGCGGAGCTCGGGTTTGAGTGCCTGGCAACGGAGAAGGAGGACAGGCCATGCATGAAGGATGTGGCAGCGAGGCTTCGTGCGATCGAGGAGGAGGGGAAGCAGCGCTACCTGGAGCAGATGGTGGCGATCAGGAAGGTGGAAGTGGTCGATGATGATAAGAAACATACTAGGAGCTCGCCCACGTCTGTGCAAATGCAATGGCCCAGCAATAGCACGTCACCAAACGATAGCTCCAGCAGCATGTAATTAGTTTTGTAACTTTTCTTTCAGAAAACTTCGTATGTTCTTCGTCTATTCGATCAGGCAATGCTCAAAAAGGAGAGAAATACAAGATAATGAAGAAGAAAAAATCATACTTACGGAGCAAACGCACAAATGTTCCAAACACATAAATCCAAATGTGTTTGCAAACGTGGAAACGCGTTTGTCAGTAACAAACCTAAAAACCTAAAGAAATGTAAAAGGTTCTAAACAAATATTTTAAATATTCGAATATCCTTCTCAATCACTATTGTCAACCTCATCTTCGACAACATTATCATTTATCTTCTATAAAAGTTCTTGGGATTCTTCCATCCTTTACTGCATATGCAAAGCCTCTCCCAATTGGCTTTAAATCCAAATCATCTGGATCAATCTTCTTACAAGGGGTGGCCTTTGTCTCTATGAGTTGGACTAATTTCAAGTTAGTCTAACAATACATTAACTTTTCAATGTTCACAACTAGCAACTGAGCTTTTCTCTTAGACTGAACAATTCTCCAGGTGCTCCAATTTCTTTCAGCATCAAAAACTGAAATGCATTGGCTGAGAACTCATATAGCCACCTTCTGCAGGTCAGGGAGTTGAGATCTATACCTCCCCACCAAAACATCCTTTTCTTACACATGTTTCTTTGAGATGCCAGATTACGTCTCATCTCTGTAGGTCAATTTTTCTTGAAATCATGAAATTAAAGCATTAACTTTTCCTCAACCTTCAAATCCCCCTTTGAAATCTCTTCAAAGTATGCATGGGTATCAACATCCTCTTCTATGTCCATTCACAAAAGATGTAAACAACAGCCAATACTTTGTAGAAGATTGTGCATCATGAGCCAATGGTTTGGATCAGATTGATCATTGTTGTATATGAATGATTTAAATGTTTCAATTCTCTACTTGTCCACCACATCATCATCAGCCAATTTCTGCTCTTGCATTTGATCAATAGCTTCAAAGATGATGCCCATCCTTACACCATCTTTATCAGCTATTTTTAATAGCTTTAGAATTAGGGCCATGATCATGAGAAGCTCAGAACATTGTATCCAAAACTCATTGTTCTTCCATAGCATTTTCTCATCAACGAATTGGCTTATAACCAAGTAGCTATAAGCAAATTGTGTTGTTGTTAGCTTTACAATATCCCATGGTGCAATCTTTCGGAAAGTAGCTAGAAGCTTTGGTTTCTTCGTAAAGAAGGTAACCAGCTTTTCACATCCACTAATCAATAGTTGTGCCCATTCAAATTTGCTAATATCTTTGCATAACAAATCAAGAACATGGCAAACACAACAACCATGTATGTAGCGCACGTGGTTTTGACCCTTTATCCTATAGTGATTTACCATAGGATAACACCACGAAGCGGAACCTAAACCCTCTTTGTGCCACGTGACAGATGCCACGTGTCACATGCCACGTGTCCATGCCACGTGTCCATAGGAACCCGAGGTTCAGGGCCTTGGGCCACTGAACAAAGGAACGGTGCCAAACTCCCAAGCATGGAGCCAAGGAGTGACGGAACTAAACCACGGAGCAACTCTCGAGCATAAAGCCCAAGGAGCGAAGGGACAGGAGCCCGGAGCGACTTGGAACAGTCCTGGAGCAACCAGCATCCTAATGCCAGGACCAGCACGCAAAACGGAGCCAAACGAAGTCTGGCGCTATTTCGGCATACCGGTGGCCTAACGCGAGGACATGGGTACTCCACCAACTAGCATGGAATGGAACTTGGGCTTAGACCCAAGCCGGACGCAGAACAAGGACAAGCACGCAAGCGGGAGCTAGACTATGCCTCAGGTTGGTCGGCCATGCCCGACCTACCCACTATCCCTACTATGCATTTGGAACCCCCCACATCCCCCCCCCCTAGAGGAACACACGCTTTGGGCTTTCACCCCAAGCCTCCCTTAGTATCAGGAGTTAGTCTCTGGGACAAGCTTGAAACTTACTAAATATGGAATGTCCTTAGATTGCGAATTTGGACACGGGACGAACACCATTGTGTTCAGGACGATCTCTACATTCCGTAGATATGCCAAATGAGCAAATCTGGACACTTTCCATAAATAACATTTGGGACCAAAATGAGACTAACACAAAGGGTATGATAGCGAGGGTGTTTGGCAGACACGGTAAGCTATCATCTAGCGATATTAAGGGACCAATCTCAATATCGCGGGAGTTCTTGATACTAGCAAGTGCAAGCCAATGACAGGAGTTTCTCAAACCAAGTTGAGTATGCTCAGCAAGAAACACATAGGGTTCCTACCTTATGTTTATCCGATCTAAGTACACGGTCATTGACCAATTTCTCAACTAACTCAAGTGGGAAACTTGGTTTCTTCGTAAAGAAGGTAACCAGCTTTTCACATCCACTAATCAATAGTTGTGCCCATTCAAATTTGCTAATATCTTTGCATAACAAATCAAGAACATGGCAAACACAACAAACATGTATGATATATGAGGGAATTCCTCCATCATAAGTTGGCCCATACTTACGCAATTGGCTGCATTATTTGTGACCAATTGGGCAACATTCTCAAGTACAACTTCCAGAATCACTACCTGCTCATAGAGATATAAACCACTCTTGATTGCATCTAATGCATCAATTGATTTTAAGAAACACAACCTTGACAACTCACAGCCAATAAGTTGATAATCAACCTCTTCCTACTGCATTGCCATCCATACAAGATAATATTATAACCATAATGTTTCCATCCTTCTCTGATTAATTGCATCCTCTCCCTCAGACTTTGACATTCTTCATTCAAATGCTAAACACAAAGTCCTTTATATTTGATTATAGTGGATTTGTATCCCTTTCTAACAAGAAGTAAAGCATCCACTATGTCTTCCCAAAAAGGTGAACAGATTATGTTAAAAGGAAGAGCATGAGCATAGATGAACCTCCTCATAGTCATGTTTGCATTTTGGTGATATTGATTTTCAAAGAACTATTTGAGAGTCATTTGAGTTTTGCTTCCTAAATGCCCCAACTTGACATTTGCAATAAACTGTATGTTTGTAGGCAAATGGCCATCAAAAGTTGCACTTCCAATTGAGTACATAGAGCTTCCCTAAGAGGATTGCCTCATAGATTCTCCATTGCCTCTACTCTCTATGTCCCTATGCAACATTTGGGCATTTGATCTTGTAGTAGGTAGTTCCCTTTTTGGCATTTGGGTAGCCGAGCATAAGAACTAAGAAGTCTTTTGGAAGACTTATCCAAAAGATAATTTGAGCAGAACTCAGTGATGTGGAGCAATTGCAACTCGGCATAGCCTCACACAAAGCAATTTGGTGACTTAGGATTTGCCCCAAATATGCCCGGCGACGCTTCAAAACCCTCTATACTCTTTGTTGCAATGCTTATAAATCTAGTGATGCTGAACATTATTATATGTTTTGCCAAGGATGGTGTCCTTACCCCATTCATTTTCCACAGCTTGTCTGCTCTCTCCAACATCGTTGCTCAGCCCAAGAATAGAGAAAGGGTAAAACAAAAGAATATTCTTTAACTTAGTTAAAAAAATTATAGTAACAAACACAAATACGCAACAAATGTGAACACAAACGAGCGTTTACAAATGCTAAATTCCTAAAAAAAATGCATTTGTCAAGAACTATGGAAAAACAATGTTAGCTTAGGGGACACAATGAAGCCAGAAGACTCAAAAGAGAGTTCATACTAATAGCAAATTAATTTGATGCATAAAGAGGATTTTATATAGTACCTGGATGCAACTTAATACTTGATTTTGTCAAAAAGCTACCTCTTTAGGCAAAACTTATAAGAAGATTAGTAAGTTTATGAATATTTTCTCACCAATGTTAGGATCCTATCTTTACACCCTAAACTAAATATTATGTGATGCCACCATACTTAAGTTTCACGTGTTGAAGGCTCCACTTGATGTTGAGATCAACATGCATGTGCCATGACATGCCAAAGATCATGTCCACATGACATAAATCTGCAAGAAAGAAATCTTCCACCATGGTGATCTTGCCAACTTTCACTAATAAGTCACCATCCCACTATTAGTTCTTGGTGACAGCTCCAAAAATTCCATAAGGAATCACTTTAGTCACTGGCAGGTTATACTCCTCAACCAACTTTGCTGAGATAAAATTGTCAAAACTGCCACTAAGAACCAACAATAAGATGGTGTGGTGCATGACTTATTAGTGAAAGTTAGCAAGATTATTATGGTGGAAAATTTCTTTTTTGCAGATTTATGTCATGTGGACATGACTTTTGGCATGTTGTGGCACATGTTGAGATCAAGTGAAACTTTGAGGCATGAAGCTTGAGTATGGTGGTGTATGTAATACTTGGTCTAGAGGTTTAAATTATATGTAAAGGTGGTCAGATATTTTTTTAAGATTCTAACGACATTACTTTAAATAAAAAATACTAAACTAAAAAAAGAAGCTCATGTATGTTTTACTATTTAAATATTTTTTCACTTTATTCAAAAAAACAACCATATCCAAGACTACTAGCTGCCTTGAATAAGAAAATGAAAGCTCAGCATGTATTATTATTTTATACTTTTATTTTCTTCTATTATATTTTGAAGTATAAGGATATTTGAAAAATCACAACTAATGAAAAAAATTAAATCACAAAAGTATGTGCTTTAGTTTTAAAAGGTTTTAGGAAAATTACTTACAGTGTATATATATATATATAGTATTTTTAGTGTTGCATTTCTTCATATTTATGAAACAGTTTTTATTTTTATTTTTTATTTTGGGTTTGCTTAAGCAGGTAGTGAATATACTCATAATATACCTGGATATTCTGGGATTATTTTACCATCTAGCAGTTGTTATATATTTAGATTAATCTTTTTATTTATAATTTATAAGGTTTCTAAACACTTTCTGGTATATTCTAGTTTATTCTATCATCTAATGGTTGAATGCAATAGGATTAATTTTGTATTTATAAATTATAAACAAGTTTATAGTTACAATTTTTCAATTGATCAATTAAATAAATAAATAATAAGCACTACTATTAAGCAAACCAAGTGTTGCTACATGCAATATATGTAAAATTATTAATTATAATTTTTAGTAACTAAATTTATTTTTAAATTTAAAATTTTATAGTTAAGGTTATTTTAAAAACATGGAAGAAATTAAATTAAATAAAAGCTGTATTGTATGAGAATGCTAACTAATTGTGTGATTTTTATTTTTTAGTTTTTAGAATATTTTAGTATTTATTTATTATCATACTATAGTATATAGCAAGCAATTTATGATAGCAATTTGGGGGGGGTACACCTCCTAAGGAAGCGTACCTAGGGTGGGTGGCTTGGCAAGTGTGCTTAAATTGTTGTAATACACATTTGTGACTTATAATATAATATTTTGAGCACAACTTTTTATTTATGCATAGCCACCCTAGGGTGGCCACCTAGAACAAATCTCTGGATATGGTTGTGTTCAAAAAAATTCATAAAACCCCAAGTATATCCAAAAAATAAATCAATTTTAGCCCTTATATATCTACCTATGGCATTAAAACTAACAAAACTTAAAGGTGTGTGCATGTGTATATATATATATTAAGATTCAAACACCCTATTACTATTTTTTATACTTTGAATACCTCCCCAATTGTGAACTTTTACAAGCTCCTAACCTTGTTTCTTAGATATAATAAGCCACACTAATCCAAACACTATTGCTATTTAAATCTACCCTATTCTAAAATAAAATCCCTCTCTATACCTTTGCATGTACCTAAAATTTATCCATACAAAACCCTAGGTATTCACACCCTTACAATGTATGTATATTTATCCTAACCCTAAAAAAGAGTTTCCACCCTATGATAGGCATACATTGGTGGTCACCACATATGTATGGCAAAGTCCAAATCAGCATCATATATATAATTTATTTTTTTTGTGAATAAATTTCAACTTTATATTAGATTTTTTGACACGTCAATAAGATTTTGTAAACAACTAAAGACAATTACTTAAGAGACAGTACATAATAATTTAAATCTAAAAGGAACGAACCCATGAATAAAAGTGCACTTTTTTTTTCAATCAATTAAGGTTTTTGAGATATTTGAGGTTAAATGTTTTTGGGTTTGAGTAGCATTAGATTGTGTGACCTCCCAGAAAGTCCAAATTTATTATTTAGGATTTAACATTACATATCCACTACTACAATAAAAGTGGATGTGGAAGGTGTGGCTAAAGTGATTTGAGTTTTTTAAGTAGGTTCATAAAGCTTTATGAGATGGAAGCTTTAAAGGCAAGTAATAATAACATAAGGTGAAAGAGTTCCATGTGAAATGAAAAAGATTTCCACAATATGAAGTAACATAGAAACTAGGAATTAGTGGAGATATTCATGATAGAAAGACTCAATATTTATTATCAAAAAAGTTGTGGGGCATCCTACTACATGTTAAAATTGACATTTAGAAGGTTTAATTTGCTTCTAGCTAAACTCGATTTAAAGAATAAAGTGTCAAAAGAGTAAAACTCCCTTTTTCAATCAATTAAGAGTTTTAGGATACTTGGGGTTAAGTGTCTTTGGTTTAAGTAATATTGAGTTGGGTGAACTTTTTAAAAAGTTTAAATTTGGGAGCTTATAGGTTTAAATTTAAAACTTCTAGGCATAACATTTTCTAATGCAAAAACTAAATTTTTAGTACCTTTGGATGTCTACATTTTGAATGTTATGGGTTAATCTTGCTATTAGTGGGTTTATTTTTTTGTGAAGGTAATGAAAAGTGCTTTGCATAAAAGCCCAAGCGCAACAAACTATTGTAATGCTAAAAACTTTAGTATATGATTAAAAATGTTAAAAATTGATAAAACTAATGTTTTATTGTAGCACAATTTTTTAGCAAGAGAAAAGCCCTAGGTATAACAAAATCTATTTGTTTGCAAAAAACCACCATGCTTAACACTCTAAATACTCAAAGAAAATAATATTTTTTTATGGCACTATATAAAACATATATATAAAAGTAGAAATGTTTTGCTACTGTGATTCAATTGATCAAGTTTGCTACCATATTCCAATCAATCACACTTATTGCTCTCCAATCAATTGCGCTTGCCACCACACTCTAATTGATGGCATTCCAATCAATCATAATTAAGGCACTACATTACAAATAAGTTGTAATAAGTGGAATAAAACATAAATACCCTTGCTAGATTTATGTTATTGTGATTTTTTTCATAAAGTATGTCATGTATGCATGGGGGTAGCGCGTGTGATCATGGGATGAGATTTGGATATATTATCACCGTAAATCTTTATAACCTTGGGGGATAAATGGGGATAAAATAGCCATTAAGGGCTCTCTCATCAAATAATTGCCCATTTTCCAATTGTTAGATTGTAGTGATGTTATATTGTTTGAAATGACATGGCATGATACATAGCAATTTAAAGTGTCATACCCATTCCAGCACATCTTATTTATTTCCCTTTAAGCGAATTGGAAAAGGGGTAATTGCTTGATGAAAGAGCCTTTAATGGCTATTTTATCCCCATTTATCCCCCAAGGTTCTAAAGATTCACAGTGATAATATATCCAAATCTCATCCCATGATCACATGTGCTACACCCATGCATACATGACATACTTTATGAAAAAAATATTATACACATAATCACATTTTGATTGTTTATATAACAATTGAAAAGTGTTTATGTGCATGATATTTTTGCATGCAACTCAAAAAGACAAAAAAATTAAATTAAAAAAAATATCTGCATGCATAAATATATAATGCAATCACATATCACATATAGTATAGTAAGCAATCACATATAGTATAGTATTAAAATTTTAGTGCATACATAATAGTGTACACATAATCATTTATGTTACTTTATTTAAGTTTTATAAATTTTAAGAAGTTTTTAGTATGCTCTAGGTTTTCTTGAGAGGGTTCCAGTTATTACAAATAGATATATTCTATTAGAATATAATGCCAAAATATATTCTCTCATCAAATCTATAAGAATCAGCATATCGACTTCTCCAAGCTTGCCATCGATGTGTCATGCTGAGATGAGTCCATAATCTCTCTCGCCATCCTGCCTTTAAGGCGTAGATCACTAAGAAGGTGTAAATCTAAGCCATAGCTCTTAGTATTCCATTTCATATGCCAGTGACTTGTATTCCTCGTCCAATGCGAGGCTTTCCATCCATGTCGTTGGTTTTGAATAAGCCGGCTCCACCCTCAGCTCTTCAAATGCTCGAACTTTCTTCCATCCGGAAACTAGAGGTTCTCGTACTTGATCTTCTGCTCCCTGTACAGCTCCGATTGGAAGGTACTCTCAAACGCATCGTAAGTTATCATCGGGAACTGGCGGCCCTCCAAGAAACAATCCGTGCCATGCCTCTTATCATAGGCCAGATCTGCGTGCCACATCGTGAGAGCCATGGCTTCTTTCACTTGCACCAGGGGCCCTTTCCTCAGCAGTCTTGCAGCTTTCAGCCGCTCCCCCTCGTAAGGCTTGCTGTAAGCCTCCTTGAGATACACCACCTCCATATGTGGATGCCTCGCCAGCGCTCCCTTCCACGACAAGTAGAAGATCCCCGGGTGCCGGCAAATGAGCTCGCCAATCTTCTTTGGAATCCCAGTCTCTCGCCGGATCTCGGCGATGGAGTCGACCAGCGCCTTGGACTCCTGCGTGAGGCACAGGAACTCGTGTATCACCGCCACCGCGCGCTTGACAGCCTCCCGGGAGAGCTTCGGGTAGCCGTGGTTTGGATCATACGGCGACGGGAACTCGAGCATCTGGAAGCTCTTGAGGAACTGCGCGTCCCTCCCCCGCACGAACTTGACCCCCGGGAACCTCATCCGGAACGAGTGTGGATCCCTCTCGCTCTCCTCGGCATCGGCTTCTCGGCGAGAGATGGCCAGCAGTGGATCCCAGCTCGTGAGCTTGAGAAACGGCTGCAAATCCCTGTACTTCTTGTCCTTGGCGATCACCACCTCGAAGTACTGCGGATACTTGTGTACCAGGTTCTGCTCGAAGTCGTGAGGAAGTCCCAGTGGCTCTCGCAGCAGCGCGATCCTCTTGAGGCAGATCTTCTCGCCCTCGCTCATCATCAGCAGCTTTCGCAAGTTCTCCACTAGACACGGCTCGTACTCGGCCATGAGCCTCCTCTCCAGCTCCACGATCCTCCGGCCATCTTCCCCGAGCTCTATCCACTCTACCTTGGCTCTGTCCACCCGCGTCTGGAAGAGCGTGTCGTAGTACTCGAGGAGGTAGTAGAGCCTCCTCACGCGCATCCCCAGATTCTTCACCTCCTCCCGGAAATCTATCATCGAGATGGTGTGGCCGGGCCTCGTGACGAGGAGATCCTTGAGCCACAGCGCCTGCCTGACGTGCTTCTCCCGGCTGATCATCACGTCGAAGCTCACTTGCCGGATCCTCTTCCTCTTCCTCTCCCTGGCCATGAAGCGCCGCTGGATTACCCACGGATTGCCGCATTCTCGCCTCCAGAGCGAGGAGGCTAGAGCGTCCGTATTCTGGGATTTCTTCCAAATCACCAGCATTAGACCACTCCGCGGCCCTCGCAGTGAAAAATCACCAGCATTGGCAGCTCCTTACCGCGATCGATCGAGGCTCCATCGCAAGAACCCTAAATATTCTTAAAACCCCTAAAGAACCCTAAACTTTCCTTTAAACCTTTATTTCTACTACTTCCAGTTTGAAATTAGGGCTCATTCATTTAGGGCAAGTCGATGGCGCTGAGCGAGGTTCTTCATCCAGAGGCAACGAAGAGGGCGATTTCCAGGCGACCCATGAGCGATCGCCTCGATTTCACCGGCCAGATCCCCAGGGTATGTAAATTCTGGCAACAGGGGCGATGTAGCAAGGGTGCTGGCTGTGGATTCGTGCACGGTGAAGCTGATTCCGGGGAGAGTGCTCCTCTCCCGCTGGAGAGGCCTAGCAGGAAGCGGAGTGTCGCCGCCGCGGATCCCAGTAGCAGCGCCAGCGGCAGCCGCCCCGTGTTGAAGAAGAACACATGGATCAAAGAGGGTCTGGCAGACAAGGCGAGGGTCATTGGGTTTGATCAAACGAAGGGGCCCGAGATCATCAAGAGCAAGGTAGTGTGTGTTGCGCAAAAGGTTTTCACAGCTAGGCATATGGTCGCTAACACTCGGAAAACAATGCACAGAAGATCATCGTCGATCCAGCAGCTCTTCCACCGCCTCCAAAGCTCAAGAGATCTTCGTCGACAGAGGCACTGATATTGGGATCAAAGAAGCCGGCAAGGAAACCAGGAACTTCGCCTTCTCCTCACACCCAAAGGGCTTGTGCGTATTGGCTGGAGGGGTCGTGTAGATATGGGGAGAGGTGTAAGTTCCTCCACGCTGCTACCACCGTCACCGGATTGGCGCTCCTCACCACGCTCAAAGAGCACAAGGAGAGCATCACGGGAATAGCTATGGTTCCAGACTCGGCAGTGCTCTTTACTGGTGCTACCGATGGAACTCTCAGGGCCTGGGATTGCAACTCGGGGACCGTGTCAGATACTCTGAGGCTAGAGGGCCCGGTGGAGGCACTGGCCAGTGGTTTTGGCTGGATTTTCGCCGGTGCTGGCCACGAAGTCCTGGCCTGGAACGTCAAGTTCTCGCAGCAGACACTACAAGCTCGAGCACCGGGAAACGTGAACGCTCTAGCAGTTGGCAAAGGCTTGCTGGTGGCGGGGCTTGGCTCGGGAGAAGTTTGCGCGTGGGAGTTTGGCAGTGGAGAGCTCAAATCTACAGGGACGTTGAGCAAACATCCCAGCGCTGTCACGGCACTCACTGTGGCTGGAGGTCGCGTCTACTCGGGCTCCAGGGACGGATCCATCAGAGTTTGCGAGGCCGAGACTGGGAAGAGCTGTGCAACCATCGTCAAGGCTCACGCTGGCGAGCTAACGGGCCTGCTGTGTTGGGAGTCCTTCCTCCTGTCTTGCTCGCTCGATAGCTTCATCAAGGTGTGGGCCGCGACTCCGGCTGGAACTTTGGAGAACTACTTCACGTTTCCGGAAGGAGAGGAGGAGATTGTGGGACGAAGCGGAGTAACAGGGATGTGTGGGAGCGTCGATAGCGATGGCAAGCCCGTGCTCGTTTGCTCGTACCGCGACTCAACAGTGAAGGTTTACGGGCTACCATCGTTCGAGGAAAGAGGCGCCTTGTTCTCAAGCGCGGAAGTCATCAGCCTTTCCTCTGCGGCTGCTGGCAACAATCTAGTCTTCTCGGGCGACAAGCAAGGCGCTGTGAAAGTCTGGAAGTGGAGCAAGGATTTGATTAAGTAGCTCACCAGCGATTGTAAAGTTTACTAGGCAAACAAGCGTGCATTGGAGCGTTTGACAAAATATGTATTAAGAGTAAAGATGGTTTTTTGTCTATTTAAACCAAGTGGCTGTTTTAAGTTCAAGCAATATGTAAATTAGTTTTTATTGTTTTACTCAGTTAAATTATTTTCATATGATTCAAGGGTAGTGAATATACTTAAAATATATTTGAATATTCTAGAATATTTATTTAGATTAATTTTGTACTTATAATGTATAAACATATTTATAATTTATAAACACAAAATTAAGCTTATTGAATATCAACCATTAGAAAAGTATTTAAATTTCCATTAAATTAATTAAATTAATTAAATTAATAAATATGAATAACACTACTATTAAGCAAACTAAGCATTACTACATGCAATGTGGAGCAAATTATATATAAATGTGAACTTTTTTATTATTCCAAGTTTATAGATATATAATACCCTAAATGTTTTTACAAATTAAAATAATAATAAAATATAAATGTCATAACTTTATTTATTTTTAAAAATGTGAATGTTTTTTAAGTTTTTATTTTAACATATTACTTTTTTTTTAATCACAAACTATAACTTTTTGTTTTGTTCTTTCTTTAAAAGTGAATCAAAAATATCCATTATCCCAGCAGTATCACTCTCAACAACTGACCTCCCTGGTGGCATCACACTTGACAACTAACCTTTTTAATAGTATTTAAGTTGTAATGTCTTTAGCTTTTTTTTGCAAATTTTAGATTTTAAAATTAACCACACTACTTAAAGGGGTTTGATGTTACTTCTATAACAAGTAATTTTGTTGGAACTATAATTGAAATTATGATGTAAATGATATGGAAAAAACTAAAGAACTATATTACAAACTATAAAGGCAATGTAAATTATATAGAAGTTTTTTAAGTAAAATTTAAGTAACTTTATAATGTAACTATTTCTGTTAATAACTACAAATAAATATAATTTTTGTAAATTTTTTATTAAATATAAATAAAAATATTAAATGATAAAATTATCCTAATAAAATTAAATCTACTTTATTAAAATATTTACATTATGACACTATATAGAAAGTAAAGGGGAAAAATAGTTGCACATACTTTAGACATCTATTTGGTTTTATTTTATGGCAAAAATGATAATATGATAGTGTTTACGTTGATTTATCATCTAAATCTTGAATACTATAAATTATATTTCCTTTAAAGTTTTTATTCTATTATTGCCTTCTTTACTTATATACATAACTTGTGTAACAATGCAAAAAGTTCATTTTTAAGTTGAATTTGACTTTAAAAAAAAAAAACAAAAAACATTCAAACTCCTAAAAACTAAAATATATTAAAATAATCAAAAACAATAAACATCAAACTATCATTAATCAATTTATTTTTAAGAGTTTGAATGTTTTCCAAAATTTTACTTTTAACTCACTACTTTTATTTTTATTACAAGTAGTAAATATACAGCCATTAATCCATTTGATATATTCACTTTTTTCTTGAGTATGTGTGATAAAAACAAAAATAGCAAGTTAACAGTTATATACAACAAAATAGTTATGTTCTTCGTAACTACACTCATTGACTAAACAGTGAAGGTTTACGGGCTTCCATCCTACTTGTTCTGGAGCGCAGAAGTTATCAGCCTTTCCTCTGCGGCTGCCGGTAACAATCTAGTCTTCTCGGGCAACAAGAAAGGTGCTGCTGGCTCGGGTGACAAGCAAGGTGCTGTGAAAGTCTGGAACTGGAGCAAGGATTTGATTAAATAGCCGAACAGAGATTGTAAAGTTTACTATTAAAACAAGCTCATGTTGGAGTTTGACAATATATGTATTGAAATTTCTAGTAAGAGCAAAGATGTTTTCTTCTTCGAAGCCAATCGAAGTTTGTATAAAGAACTTTTAGAGAATGAACTTCCGTAGCCAGAGTTCACGAGTATAGTTACGTAGGCTTGAAGAACTTAATACGTTCAAGCCACTTGGAAACCGTTAAACAAGGAATGCGCTCCGAATAGCAAGAACAAAATGCCACCACAAAGCGCAACCTAAATATCCACAAAGAAATCATAAGAAAAGGAAAGGAAAAGCTTTGATACGTACCGATCTTTCGGAGATGCTTGAAGCTAGATGCCTCCCTCCCCAAACAGCAGCACTCGTGCACAAGGCATGGCCCCTACGAGAAGAGAGAAACAAAAGAAGGAATTTTTGTCAGCAAGATCTCAAAGTTTTCGCCAAGAATTCGACTTACAGGAAGCCACCGACTGCTACTCCCACTACGTTCTCCTGGGCAGCCAATCCTATCGTAGCTATCTACAAGCATGGAAGTTTTGAGTGATCGAGTAAGAAAGATCGATTGCTCGTTACCTGACTCCGGTCGCCCCATTCACCAAGGAAAGTTAACGAAAAAGCCTGGAGTTTGCAAAATGTATGAGCGATCGGAGAGAAATGAGCAGGGCGAATTCACCTCGATGAGAACGGGGGACAAAAAAACGCTCGTTTGTTGCTTCTTTTTCTTCTTTATATCGTCAGTCCTCCCCTGAGACAGTAGACATACAAGATCAGAAAAACCATCGTCGAGATCACTCGATTTATCTTACAAGCTTTGCTTCGACTTCCGCGAGCTCGGACTCCCTGAAGAACAAACGGTGAAAAACCAACCAGAAGCGAGCGATCGCCTACCCTTCCTCATTGGAGATTGCATCCCATAGCGACCGGAGGCCGAAAACAAAGAAGAGAAACGTGGCACCGTTGTGTGTCAGCTTGCGAGATATCTGCAAAGAAGAAGACAACGCAAAACTTAGACAAACAAAGTCACACACTGTTTGTTCTTACAAGATTTGGCGCTGCCCAGCCAAACACTGCAGAAAAAATAGTCATCACCTGGCAGCACGAAGGGAAAACAAAGTTTTAGAATCCAAATCCTCCAAAACGAGCTCGAAAAACTTTTGCTCAGATCTCCAAGACTAGAAATTTTCTTTTGCTCGACTCACCACAAGAGCTAAGAGCGCTCCAGTTAGAACTACACCGCGAGGATGCCTCATAGCCATCAACTGATAGAACAAAAGGAAAGAAAAAACCAAAGAATTAAAACTGCCACGCAATGGAAAGAAATCTCCATACCGCGGCCACGAAGAACGTCTTGTCCCCGATCTCCGAGACTATGGTCATGGCCGTTGACTTAAGGAATCCCTGCGGCAATGTGCCGAAAATTTCATCGATCGATCGCTCGATCCAGCTCTAGAAGTTAAAGAACACTCACCTGGATCAACGACGCCCCCATCGCGCCGGAGATCAGGATCAGCCTCGATCCTCTATCGCGCGCCGAGAATGACGACCAAAAGCTCCGCGGATCTTCTGGACCACTCCGCGAAGGAGAAATTCCCTTTAGACCACACCTAGGTTCCAGAATAATTCTCCCCCTTTTCCCCTTCGATTATCCTGCCCGTCGCTTCCTTTTTTTCTGGACCGTCGGTTTAAAGAGGGATCAGGACCATAGCAAATGAAATATAATTTTGTAGTTGTCATGGACGATCGTCTCTTTTCTTTCTTCTGGAAACACCACGATTTTCGTGATCTCGGGCTGGATCAAGCGCTTTGGGATAGCCAGCCGGAAGAGCAAATAATAAAATCACAAGAGCAAAGAATTTTTTCGGAGGTACTAAGGTTTGCTTACTCGAAGTGTTCCGTTGGGTATTCTTTCTGGTACGCATTGTAGTCGTAGTAGAGCCTCTCGCCTTTGGCGATATCCCGGATCGAAACCAAGAGAGCGTGAACTTCACCATCGATGTCGAAGCGGATACAACGTAAGTTCTGCTTCTTTCTGCCGTCGCTACAGGAAAAAGCAGAAGGAAAGTTTAGCACTCAAAGTTCTTGCTGTGATCACAAACTAGAGCTTACGAGGTGTGGTTATTGATCCCGGATATGAATCTGGCAATGTTTCCACGTTTGTCTGGACAGATCACGAGCTCCTGCGAAGCGTCCTCCGGGAAAAGGAGTCCCATGATGCTATCGCCTTCGTCGTCCTCTCGGTTGCACATGAAATCTACATCGCCGGTGTACTCCGCGATCAAAGTCATGTCTTTTATATGGTTGTTTGCTTCCACGACGAACCTGAGTTAAAGCAAGAAAAAGCCTCTTGAGAACCAAGAACTATACTAGAAGAGAGAGAGAAACTCACCCTTGACGGGGATCTCTGGTCACCATGAGAGGAGGATGCTCGCCTCGGATGCACATTGCCTTGCAAAGCTCGTAAGTGGCCTTATCTTCTTTGCCAATCACCTGGAGTGTTAGAGAGCTCGTGAAGATCATTGAGACAGAGAAACGAGGGAGCGTTCCCACACCTGCATTCCTCCTTTCTCTAGCACGGCTCTGTTCGCACGCCTTGGAGCTAGACCTGGAAGATAAGTGAGCTCGTTGCTAAATTCAATACCGGAAGTCATCAAGGCTGACGCCAGTGACGCCATTTGCTCCAGCCTCTGCGATGGATCCTTGGATGGCATGTATGGCAGCAGCTTCCTGCTTTTCTTGTAAATCACCAGAGAGCCACTGTGTCGTCGTCGCCTCACTTCTGTCGAGCGCAAGAACTATTGGACCAAGCTGAAAGAAGTAGACTTGTATTGGTACCTTTGGTTGGTTCTTCCTCCACCTTCTCGATCCCAAAGAAATCGATGAGCTTTCTTTGCACCATGGGAAACACTGCAAGAAGCGAGCCCCGGATCGATCAATCAGAAGGAAGCAAAGCAAAAGAATATAAATCCAACCTTTGACTTGCTGTCGATCCTTGGAGCAATGCGGGCAAAACCAGTCACCCTTGGGAACCGCGACAAGGATTGGAGAGAGACAGTACATGTGATAGCCACGATCGCAACCATCGCACAGTAGGAACCTCTGTGGATCATTACCTCGATCACAATTCCCACATTTGACATCGTCCACCTCCTCATAGTCATCCTCCTCGTCATCCTCGTCTTCATCCTCTTCTTCATCCTCTTTCGGGAGCTCACAAGCCGGTGTGATCTCGTAGATCTCCGCCAAGTTCCTCCTCTTGATCTTCCTCGTCACCGGCCCAGCTGTTCTCGATCTGGGCGAATTCCGGATCTTGGTAGGCGACGGCGGCGACCCGGCTCCAATCTTCTTGGGGCTCTTCCTCACGGCCTTGCGTGGGGTTTCCGGGATCTCCGAGCAGCAGTACCTGTGACCGCTCGGGCAAGCCATCATACGCTTACTGCGCCGCCGCTCCTCGCAGCCTGCCGGCGGCTCCACAAAGATTATCTTGTGCTCCGCCATGGCCGCAGCTTGGAACGATCAATCGAAGAGGCGGACGAAGAAAAGCGCGATGCGTCAAATCCCTGGATCCGATCCGAGCATCTCGCTACAACGGATGGATTTGGAAGAATTCTAGCCCTAATCGTCACGAGATGATGATTCTCCACGGCATTATGGCCGACCGAGCAAGAGCGCCGCCGCCGCAGCCAGCCACTCTCCTGCCGCGGCCAACGGATTCTACCAGAGAAGAAAATCCATCCCCAAGCACAAACCCTACCCTCTGCCGGCCACGACACGTGTACACAGTCACCTACGTGGCATTGACCTGGCTGTCTTTCCCGCCATAATCTCGAATATACCTATAAGGTTCTAGGGAATTTAGGGTTCTTGGGAGGAAGACGAAGAGCGCAACACGTCCGTCACGAGCGCGTACGAGGCGCCGGCGCCTGGATCGAACTGGATCGCCATCCTCGCGGCATCGCTCCCCCGCTGGAGATCTTGGTGTGTTCTACACCCGTCCAGCAGGCTCCGCCACGCGATCCCAGCGCTCTCCAGCCCCGGCACGCCCTTGATGATCTCCTCGGCCTCGCGGAGGTGCCCAGCCTTGGCGAGCGCGTCCACGACGCAGCAGTAGTGCCTGGGCACGGGATCCAGGGAGAAATCCCCCACCATGGAGGCGAAGTAGCCGTAGCTCAGCTCCGCCTTGCCTGTGTCGCGGCACGCGCCCAAGATCTCTACGAATGTGGCCGCGCTGGGCTGGGATCCATCCAGATTCATGAGCGCGAAGAGCTCCATCGCCGGCTTGGAGTGGCCATTCTGCGAGTAGCCCGCCAGCATCGCGTTCCAGGACGCCAGCGATCGATCCGGCATCGAATCGAAGAGCTCCCTCGCCGAATCGAGGTGACCCTGCTGGGACCTCATCGCCACCATCGCCGCCCACGACACGGTCGTCCTCTCGGGCATGGAATCAAACACCGCCTGGGCCTCTCTCGGGTGGCTGTTCGCCGAGAAGGCCGTGAGCAGTGAGTTCCAGGAGATCAAATCATGCTCGGGCATCCTGGAGAAGGTGTTCTTCGATCGCTCGACGTAGCCATGGCGGCCATAGCTGGAGATCATCGCGTTCCATGCTACGAGATCGCGCTCCGGCATGGATTGGAAGAGCTCCTCCACTTGCGGGATCCTTCCGGCGCTCGCGTAAGCTCCCAAGAGGACGATCCAGCTGATCACGCTCCACTCGGGCATGGATCGAAAGAGCGCCTCCACCGAGCCAAGCTCCTCCTCGGTCGCGCAAACCGAGAGGATTGAGTTCCACGACACGATGTTTCGATTGCCCATCTCGTCGAAGATCTTCTGCGACTCCCGTGCGAGACCATTTTGAGCGCACGCAATGATCATCGCGTTGTGGGATGGGATTCCTCTCTCGGGCATCCTATCGTAGAGATCAAATGCTTGTCCCAAATGCCCATTAGCGGCAAATGCAGTGACCATGGCAGTCCAAGCGATCAAATCCCATCCGGGCATTCGATCGAACATCTCGCTGGCTAGATCGATCGAATCGGCGTAGGCGAACTCCGACACCATAGCCGTCCATGCCACTACGTTCCGCTCGGGCATCCGATCAAACACCGCTTTGGCTGGACCCAGATGCCCAGTCTGGGCATTTGCACGAACAATCGAAGACCACGACACCACCGTGGTGCTGGGCATCCGATCAAATATCTCGCACACTGGGTCGATCATCCGCTGCTCCTCAAACATAGTGAGCACGGAATTCCACGCGACTTCGTTGCGCTGGGGCATCCGATCGAAGGTTTCCTTGGCATCTCGGAGGTGCGCATTGCGAGCATAGACGCCCAGGAGGATCGCCCACGAGTAGAGATTCGGGCACTCCATGGAATCGAAAGCGAGCCTAGCGGATTCCACATCGCCACACTTGCCATACATCTGGACGACGAGATTGGCGAGGAATCTATCATCGCAGCAGTGTGGGCTGTGGAGAATTTGGCGATGGAGGGCGGCTACCTCGATTGCGTCCCTCGAGGCTCGGAGCGCGCGGGCAAAGCCATCGCAATCCAGTGCCAGATCCAAGAGCTTGTGCCTCGTCCATGATCTTGCCATTCCAAGCTACCAGAAAGAGAATAGGAAAAGAAGCATTCTCGAGGATCCCAAATGCCCAATTGTGGCAAGTGCTGGAACCCCTCGACTTATTAGATTATTCTGAGAATATGCGCACCATCGTCTTTCACCATTCTTCCAATCACTCTGGAGCGTCTTTCACGAGTTCTTCGAGCTTGGCATCGATCTGTTCTACACTAAGCCCATCGAGAGTGGCGCTTTGCTCCACTCCATAAGCTGCGAAGAGAAATCGTGCCAAATCGTGTGAGCACAAACCAGATTTTTGGGGGGGAGAAGATAAGAGAGCTCACGATATCGAATCCACAGTCGTGGTTGGATCCCGCTACATTCCCTGAGAAGTATCGGCAGCGTGGGATTGAGCGTCTTGAGCTGCTTGTAGTTCTTGAGGATGTAATCCCTGCAAACCTAGCTCTAGCAACGATTGATTGGAGCTGGAAAATTGCCCACCTGGTCGTCTCGCTGCCAGGAGAGGTCTGGCAGAAAAGGATTCGCAGCTCGCGAGCTCGGCGCGAGATCTCCGAGCGCCAAGCCATCCTTCCTGCCCTAAACTTTCTTTCCCAAATTTCAAGGGATCCTGACCGTTGAGATTCAATGTCTTTTATTTCGCCACGTGGTCCAATTAAAGGGGTTTAGGAGGTTTAGGGTTTAGGGTTTTTCGGCTATGGTGCGCAAGATATTGCGCTCGCGGCTCCTCCGCCGGCTCGCCAAGCAGACGGTTGGCCTTAAACGCGTGCCGGAGCCTCTCCAAGAATCGATTAAGGGATATCTTGCAGGTATGGCGCTGGAAATCAGCCGCATTCTTGGATTTTCTCACGATTTCTCCCCTCCAGACTACTCCAATCACCAAATTCGGCAGCATGTCTTTAACTACACGCTCATGCTCAGCGGCAAGAGCGAGGAGCCGCCCATTGCCGTCACTCCTTCTTTCGAGCCCTCGGCGAAAGTCCTGGCTGCTGTGGAGGATTACTTCTCAAATAAAGGACCCTTCGCTCCAGTTCCAAAGAAATATCGCGCGGCTCGACTCAAGCCAAGGTACGATGAGAAGCAGGTTGCTGCATACGTTGCTGCGAAAATGCCAGCGGTCTACTCGGTCATCCACACTGTCTTGAGCGAGGTATCACTAGGTCTCATGATTTTCTTGGAGATCTATGTTCAAAAGTGTTTTTTTTCTCTCGATCGATAGGTTGCTCGGCGGCTGCCTGATTTTAAACCAGAGAATGTTTTGGACTATGGCTCTGGACCAGGAACTTCCATTTGGTAAGAGCTACCTTTCGAACAATCACCAAAAACTTCTTTTCTGCGCAGGGCAATGTCTCAAGTATGGCCGAAAACTGTCAAGCTAGTGAACATGGTGGAGACTTCTCCTTCAATGCTTGCGGCATCCAAGAAGATCCTCGAAGGTACACTTTCACAAGTTGCGAATTCAGTTTTACATGTTCCTGATGCTAGGTACTAGATTTGGAGGATCCACCGGTTATGCACAACCATAAGACCCTACGAATCCTATCAAAAAAGACACGACACTCGGGTCACGACATTGTGATAGCCGTAAGCGATTCTGTAAATGGATACGTATTTGCATGTCTAACAAGATTGTTGTAGTGTCACGCGATTGGAGAGCTCCCGACCGTTGAAGAACAAATCACTACTGCCCGGCAACTGTGGGCACTAACTCGAGACATTCTTGTAAGCATAGCGAAATATTTCTATTTGCCGGTATTTTTAATGGTTAGCGCAGGTAATCGTCGAACCGGGAACTTCAGAAGGGTCTTTGACAGTTCGAGGCATACGGGCTCACATCCTGGCTTTAGAAAGAAAGGCAAGTATCTCTTTTGTATCGTCCGACAGTGTTAATCAGCATTTGCATCTCAGAAACTTCGAAGACGGCGGAAGTTCCTGACTGGCTCAACTTCCACTGACACTCCCATGATCGGCACCTCGGAGGAAGATGGCAGTAAAAGAAACTTAGGCGAGCAGCTTGTAGTACACAGCGAGGAAGAGGTCGAAATACCCGGTGGTGGTGCTCATGTGATTGCACCGGTACGTTGTAAGGACTTTGCGTTGCCATGTGTTACTGATACGAGCTTTCATTTTTTTTTGTTTCAGTGTCCACACGATGGTGTCTGTCCAATGGACGGCACAACATTATTTTGCCACTTTGTCCAGCGTCTTGAACGAACGTTCACTCAAAGAATGGCTAAGGTATCCATCCCAGTGAAAATCCATTTGCTGCTTAGTTTATTGTATTATTTCTCCAGAAACACTCACGAACAATGTTGCGTGGCTATGAAGATGAGAAGTACAGTTATGTGGTCCTTCGCCGGGGGCACCGTCCAAGGTAGTTATTGGAGCTGAAAGTTTTGGCTTGGCATTTCTCACAGCTGCTCTCTTTACAGGGTGGATTGGCCACTAGATCATGTGGAGCTGCAGCTGGATAAAGACGAGCCAGTAGAAAACGACCTACTTGTAGACTATGAGGAAGACGAGGATGAAGAAGAGGAAGAGTACTTAGAGGATGAAAACGACGAAGATAGAGAGACCAGAGACGACGATGAAGGTGGTGAGAACTCAGGTTGGTCTTTCAATCTAACAGAAATTTCCGCCAGACATCGAAACTAAATTGGAGGAAGAACCACGCGAGGACGAGAACGAAGACCAAATCGAAGAACAAGAGGGTGACGACGACGAATGCAAGGAGACGGCGGCAAACATGAGCAGTGGCTGGGGCCGCGTGATTTTCAAGCCATTCCGGCGAGGCAAACACGTCACCTTGGATGTTTGCCGCTCGACGTCGCCGGACGGCTCGTCCGGTAGCTTTGATCGTCTCACCGTGACACGCGCCAAGCACCGGGTTCTTCACAAGGAAGCGAAAAAGGTCCGGTGGGGCGACCTCTGGGCTGCAACCAGTAGCACCAAGACCTTCAGACGTAAGTAACTCTCCTCTCTCTTTTTCCCTGCTATTTCGCTGGACTCTCAAAACATTGCCTTTGCAGACACCCGAGACAACCGCATTCCGTTATCGCGAGAAAGAATCCATTCGTATGAATGAGAAGTGGAAGTCACGTGAAGCTTCAGCACCGACGGGCCGGATTCAGAAAGAGCGAAAGAAAGCTGCAGAGAGGAAAAGTGAAGTCTCTGAGAAAAGCGTTAGATCTGGATGGAGCTTTGTGTGCACTGCAGTCAAAGCCGGGGTGAGCAAAGCTCTCTGCGCCAGAGACTTCAAGACAAAGCAATGGATCTCTCACTTTAAGCCCGACCAAGCAAGCAAAACAACACTACGAAAGCGACCATGGAAAAACTCTACGAAGTGGCAGCAAGCGTACCTTCTCGTGTAATACTTCCCCAGTGGCAATGGAAGAGTAGCATCTCGCTCTCCTTTGATACACGCGATATCCCTGCAAAAACGCAAAGCTGGCGAGCATGAGTGTAGTGTCAAAGGCGAGCACGATTAAATCGCGTTAAAGCATTGATGATACCAGCAGAGGCTTGTCCTTAGCGAGTAGAGTCTCATACTGTATACCATTGCGCTCACTCGCGTCGCCGCCACCATCAATGCAGACACGGTGAGGAGCGTACCGCAGGAATTTTCGTCCCGGTTTTGTCTGTTTGATCTTTGCCTCCCGCTCCACCTGTAAGTGCCTTGTCCTGTCTGTTCGTCGCTGAGAGCTTTTCTCTGCCGTGTCTCCCAGGCCAAACCAAAGTTTCTATCGACCATGGCCTGTCCCGGAAGAAGAAACTTCCTCTGGTTCCTCTCCGTCGTCGTCTTGATCTCTTCTTCCACCAGAGCTCAACCCGGGCGATTCGACGTCATTGCGCAGAACGCCGGCGTCGCTAGCATGCACACGGTCGTCACGCACTTCAGCAACGCGATCTTCCTGGACAGAACCAACATCGGCCCCTCGCAGATCAACCTCGCCGGAGGAGGATGCAGAGACAACCCCGACGATCGAACCTTGAAGCACGACTGCACCGCGCACTCGGTCATGTTCGACTACTTCTCCGGGGCCAGCAGAGCTCTGTCGATATACTCGGACACTTGGTGCAGCTCAGGTCAGTTCTTGCCGAACGGGACGCTTCTCCAGACGGGGGGCGACTTCGATGGGTTCTTCAAAGTCAGGTACATGACGCCGTGTCCGAACGGGGGCACCTGCGACTGGCAGGAATCAAAAACCGAGTTTTTGCATTCCGGAAGGTGGTACGCCAGCAATCAGCTCTTGCCAGACGGTCGCGTGATCGTTGTAGGCGGACGAAGCGCTTTCTCCTACGAGTTCATCCCGGACAGAGGAGCCGGGCAGTTTGAGCTGCCGTTTCTCAAGGAGACGAACGATCCAACTTTCAACAACCTGTATCCCTTCCTGCATCTGCTGCCGGACAACAACCTGTTCGTCTTCGCCAACCGGGACTCCATTCTCCTCAACTATTTCACCAACACTGTGCTTCGGAGATATCCAACGCTGCCTGGTGAGCCCCGGAACTATCCATCCGCCGGAAGCTCGGTCATGCTTCCCTTGGACAGCGCAAACAGCTTCTCCAATGCCGAAATTCTCGTTTGCGGAGGAAGCAACAAGGACGCCTACGCGTATCCAGCTGGTCAGCTTCCGGCCTCTCAGACCTGCGGTAGAATGGTAGCGACGTCAGGCGATCCAAATTGGAACATACTCAACATGCCTACGCGAAGAAACATGGGTGACATGGTTCTGCTTCCAACCGGCCAAGTCCTCATCATCAACGGAGCGCAAAGTGGATCTCAAGGATGGGGATACGCGTCCAGTCCCTGCCTCAACCCTGTCATATTCGATCCGGTCAGCTCAAAGTTCGAAACTCAAGCAGCCAGTACCATTCCGAGAATGTATCACTCCACCGCAAACCTTCTTCCAGACGGCCGAGTCCTTGTAGCAGGCAGCAACACGCACGAGTACTACACTTTCACGGGAGAGTTTCCAACGGAGTTGAGAGTAGAAGCTTTTTCTCCGGCATATCTAGACCCTGCAAACGACTGGCAGAGACCGAAGTTAGTTAACTATCCAGGAGTTATCAACTATGGAATGCCATTCTCGGTGGACGTCTCCTTACCGGGCAACTTGACAGGAGATATCGAGTTGACGCTTTTGAGTGCTCCGTTTACCACGCACTCCTTCTCTCAAGGGCAGAGGCAGCTCAAACTAGCGGTTTCCACACCATTACGAGCAAACGGGAACACCTTTACTGTGAAAAGCTCGGCACCGCCAAGCGCCGTGATCGCTCCACCATCGTTCTACATGCTCGTTCCCCTACACAATGGAATCCCAGGCACAGCGACATGGGTGATGGTAACATACTAGAGTGAAATACCTGTTGGTGCTAGATACTTGTACAGTTTGCTTCGGTCAAGTTTTGGAAGTCGCCAAACAGCATCACACAACGTGTCGACCTTCCAATATCAAACTCACACACCATTTTTTTAAGGCATTATTGCTGCAGACAACACTTCCATTCCATGGATTTACAACATCTACGACCCTGTGAGGGAAACACATGGGATTAGCCCTGTTAGTTAGCTCTTAAACAGAATGGAAAAGCACTTACCAGCTGAGTTAAAAGATCCGACTTCTGCCATCTTCGCGTCTTGTGCTGCAAGCATTGTATCGAATGGTACAAGACGTCACCCATTTCTGATACAGTCATTTCCTTGCCTTCGGTCTGTCTTGCACAGATCACCAGCTTCCTCCCTGCCAAAGTTTCTTCTGAGCCAGACGCATGAAACAAACAAAAGCTCAAACAACACCTTAAGAGCAGCTCCTGGTCTGCAATAGCCACGACGGCTTTCCCCATCAGGCTCGCTGTTGAATGACTCTTTCCAAATAGAAGTTGACAATACATCAATCTGTAAAAAAATATATCAGTGGAAGAAGAAGAACGATATTGTCAGTTTACATAAACCAGGAGGATATCAATGTAGCACGTATGAGAAAAATTACTGATTGATCTCAAGTTCTTGTTAATAATACTAACTTAAGTCAACCAGCTCCTGTGTGACAAGTAGGCCGGTCAGGCTTTCCCAAGTAATAATCTAAAAAAGATAAAGTCGATAAGAGCTCACAAAGAATAAAAGAAAGTGTGTACCGAATCTCCATCACAGTCGAGATAGACATCCACAACACCAATAAAATTGGATAGCGTCTCTCCTTTGGTCCAAAAAGAGATCAACGACTTCGACTAAATTACGTCACTCGCTTCGTGGCCTAGACAGCGTCCCAAATCCCTGCATCAAAATCACACCCATCGAATTTTATCAAATCCAGCAGCGCCTCCACCTCGCATGGATCTCCTAGGTATTTATGATCTTTACCTCCAGAGCTCTAGCGGAACCTCCTGCTCAAGCGGAGGAATCTCCGAGAGAAGCCCAGATCGCGTCCCGCATTGCCACGAGCCCTAAAACCCTAACTCTCTGTTAAACCAATATGTATATATACACTTCTTCAAACAAAATCCACCCTTTTACAAGCGAGATACGTATGAAACCTTGGTTTCTTAAAGGTCTGTAATGCTGAAGCGTTGGAACTGGGCACTCATCTCAAGCTCCATTGGCGTAGGGAGGTTGGAGGTTTCTTCTCTGTCCTTGTCAACGTCCATGGCTGCCCAAACGGAGCTCGAGACCGAGGGCGCGGCCTCGAGTAGCGCACCTGCATCGTCGTCGTTACCAAATTTTGCCAGCGCCCATGGTCCAAAACTAGCTAGGCTCTTGATGTCGCTCTCTTCCTGTTTGACAAGCTTTGAAAATGAGTTTTTATCCAGGGCGCTGCACGAGAGAAAGAGAAACTTTTACCTGTCGAGAAGAGCGCCCCATATCCACAAGGACGTTCTGCGCAGGCGGGCGAGAGAAAACACTTTCCCGCCAGCGCTTCATGGACGTGTTAGAGATTACATGTAAAGAACTGCACTCACCAGAGAGAGGCTTTGTGCTGTTTTCATGGCGTTCTCGGCGGTGGCAGCACGCAGCTGGGCCTCGAGAAGTGTGTGAGGCTGGCGACCCAGACCCGGTTGAGAGAGGACTTCTATGATCGCCTTGGGACTTGGAATCGCTTCAGGTGATAACTTGAACATTATTCCATCGTCAAACTTGACTTGTCCCGGCGATGCATCCACGGTAGTACGCTGCTCTAAAGCATCTGAATCCTCTTGCTTGACTGGGCCATTCGTTGGATTCTCTCGATAGCTTCGCAGAACTTCTTTCCATCCGCTCATGTCCAAGCTCACGGCAGGACTGAGCGGCTTCTGGCCGAGGAACATGTCTGCAGAATAGTTTGATTCGAGCTGTGTGTCAGAAAGCAAAACGTCCACTCTGACTGGTTCGTTTACCTGGACTGTCTAAGATGTCGTTAAGATCAATACGATCTTCCATCATTAGATTACCACCTTGCCCGGACTGAGTTTCCGACAGAAGCGAATCCTTTGAAAAGAGTTGCTCCATCTGTTCGACATGGTCACTTGAATCGCCATGCTCCGAGTGCGAGAAAGGTTCCGGATGCTCTGGAGATGCTCCATAAGCAGATTCACGACCCTGGAAAAGAAATGCTTCGAGCCACAAGAAAGCTAGAAAAAGAAAAACACCGCAACCGACCTGGTGTACTTGAAGGTAGTGGACAAGAACAATGTGTTCATAAGCACTACAAGCCATGATAATACAAGTGAGGGGGGGATGCATGTTTGTTTTTTCCTGCTCTATGTACCCTTCCAGCATCCAGTAGCTCCGTTGAAAATTTGGATCCTCTTCTCCACGGGCGTAGTAACAATGCAGCACGTCGATGCTTCCAGACTGCATACAAGATCAGGAACCAAGTGTCGCGATGGTTGTTCCTAGTTATAGCAAGCAAACCTTGAGCCTCTCGTGAGCCTGGCCTTCTTTCTTCCAGTTGTGACCATCCTTCCGAAAGCACCTCACAGCCTTGCGATCAAACAAGAACAAGGATCCACCTAGTAGCATGGCAAGCCAGTCAGTGTGACACAAGGCAAGGAGCAAGGAGCACTCACTGGCGGGCCGGTTGGGAGGAAGGGAGTTGAGATCGAAACCGTAGCTCTGATAATTGCGAAGTATGTCGCAAACTTCGTGTGGTTTGAGCCACCGGACGCAAGCTTCCTGGATGATCTGCCTCATGTCGAGGTCTGCTCAGATAGCAGAGTCTTTGTTTGACCTTGAAACTAGCCTCCACTCACCTTGCTGCGGCATTTTATAGACTCTTCCACCTGTTGCCATCTCAAAAACAAAATTAATCTAAAACAGTGGGAGCAGCTTCACACCACCGCCATGGCATCCCCCCATGAACGCCTAACTACGAGAGCCCCCTGCCACCCGCGAGCTTTGATTGGCCAGTTGACGCAAATAATTTGATGACCAAATGGTCATCCAGAAATATATGCAATCTAAATATAGTGCTGAGGAACTCTGCACAACTTTCATGTTCTTAATTTGACGCAAAGAACACCTTTACCAGTAGACATTCCACCATCTAAAAGTAACATTCCACTATATTATTGTTTTAGAACCAACACGTTGGTACGTCAAGGATTGATTATGGATATATGAAAATGCATATTCCACCCCACTACCAAAATAAAAAATTTCAATTCGCTTAATTCAGTTTTCTTGGTTTTCTCCCCACTTTGATCGGTCTGTTTGTACATGTTCCATGTAAATGTAAAGGCTACTAGAATGAAAAACATGTTGGTGCTTGATACTTCCATCGGTCAAGCCATCTACGATCCTGTGAGGGAAACACATATGGGATCAGCCCTCTAAAACAAAATGGAAAAGCACTCTCCACTTGAGTTGAAAGATCCTTCAACTTGAATTCCTGCCTCGGCTGTTCTCGTCCTCAACGCCTGATTGAGAGAATCTCGCTCTCAAGACTTCCATAACTTCCGCCATCTTCACATCTTGTGCTGCAAGCAGTACCATCGAATGGTACAAGACCATTTCTGATACAGTCCTTTTCCTGCCTTCGTTTTGTCCGACTGTCTTGCACAGCTCAGCCCTCTCCTTCTTCCTCTCTCGTGGAGCACAATCTATCCTCTTCTCCCTCCTCTCCTCTCTTGACACTGGTGAACGTCAAACTCCAGCAAGAGAAACAGCAAAAGCGTATGAGCTCCATTGTGATAGGCCTTTGCACGAGGTAGCATTCGTACAGGAGTAGTATTACTCTTATATTAAATTGAAGTTAACTATAAATTTATGTTAAAGGTAAGTATTAGGGTGATTTTGGAGGATTTCCTCTCTTTTTTTCATGTTTGGCAGGCTGCCACATCATCAAAATTCCTTGTATATTCTAAAAGAAAAGAATATACTTTTTATATACCTTGTAAAATATAAAATATAAAACATTTAAATAATAATAATTTTAATAAAAAATCAAAATTTAAATATACATATTAGAAAAACAATCAGAACAATTAAAAAATTTAACATATTATCTTTAGTTGTAAATAATTGTAGAAATGCTCCCTCTTTACCTCAATCATAAAAATCTTTGTAACCCTAGGCAAAATCCACCATCGTTGCAATAAATCCACCAAACTGTCTAGATCCATAAATAAAAGTTTATAGCCTTAATCTTTATTTTTCAACTTCGTGGCTAACCTAAAAACCATTTGTTTTGATCCAGTGGTGGCTAACGTAAAAACCATTTGGTGGCAGAATGCTTATATTTTAAGGCATTTTACCATAAAATGGATTAATGTGAATTCAATGCTAAATGAGTGTCTAGTGGCAACTCTTTCATTACAAAAGTACCTTTTTAATATAAGGAGATGTCTATTCCTCTATGCGTTGCTTGTTATTGCAACTGTTTGCTGCACTGAAAAACGTTTGTGACCAGCGTCCGTGCAAGTAGCACACCTGTATTTCGTCGTTCATCGTCCAGTTGCTTCATTTTGCCCAGCGAGCTATTCGACAAGCTTTGATTTTTCCACCAGTGCGCTCCCTGTGTCGAATTCCTGTGCTCAAGGACTTTAGTGGCAGGCGCAGCAGCAAGATAAACTTTTACCTGTTGAGAAGCGCACCCCATATCCTCATGGACGTTTTGCGCAGGCCGAGGAGAGGAAATAGTCTCTTGCCAGCGCTGCATGGACGTGTTAGAGATTAAGAACTGACTATCTAATTCACTCACCGGAGAGAGGGATTTTATGGCATTATTGGTCGCGGCAGCATGCAGCTGAGCCTCGACATGTGTCTGAGGTTGGCGACCCAGACCCCGAGGAGATAGAACTTCCATGATCGCTTTGGGAGTTAGACTCGCTCCAGGTGATTCCTTGAACATTCCATCCTCAAACTTCATGGGCGAGACTTGTCCTAACAATGCATTCGTAGTGCACTGCTCTGAAGTTTCATCCTCCTGCTTGACCGGGCCAGTGGTTGGATTTTCTCGATAGCTTCGCAGAAGTTCATTCCATCCGCTCATGTCCAAGCTCACAGCAGGAGTGAGGGCCTTCTTGCCGAGGAACTTGTCTGCAGATAGTTTGAATCGAGCTGTGTGTGAGAAAGCAAAACGTCCACTCTGACTAGTCACACATATACCTGGACTGTCTAAAAGGTCGTTAAGATCAATACAATCTTCCAGAATACCACCATCTTGTCCGGGCTGAAACAAGCTCCCCTGCTGATAGCTTGGACCTTGTTGAGTTCCGACAGAACTCAACAGAGGCGAATCCATTGCGTGCGAGAAAGCTTCCGGATGCTCTAAAGCTTTGTATGCCGATTCAAGATCCTGGAAAAGGAAAAGCTTCGAGCTGGAAAAAGAAAAGCACCAGAACACCGACCTGTTGTACTTGAAGGTAGTGAACAAGAACAATGTGTTTGTAAGCACTACAAGTCATGATAATACACGTGAGGAGATTTCCATATCACTTTTTTTTTACCCTTCCAGTATCCAGTAGCTCCTTTGAAAATTTGGATCTTCCTCTCCATGGGTGCAGTAACAATGTAGCACGTCAATACTCCCAAACTGCATACAACCAAGTGCCGCAATAGTGGTGGCCTCGTTGTTCCTAGGAATAACAAGCAAACCTTGAGCCGCTTGTGAGCCTCGCGAACAGCCTTGCCGCCTTTCTTCTTTCTCCAGTTGTGGCCATCCTTCCGAAAGTACTTTACAGCCTTGCGATCAAACAAGAGCAAGGATCCACCTAGTAGCTTTGGCAAGTCAGTCCATGTGACAATCGAAGCAAGGAGAAAGGAGCATTCACTGGCGGGCTTGCTGGGAGGAACGTGGCTGAGATCGAAACCGTAGCTCTGATAATTGCGAAGGATCTTGCAAACTTCGGGTGGTTTCAGCCATCGGACGCAAGCTTCCTGGATGATCTGCCTCATGTCGAAGTCTGTTTTGCCTCAGACCCTTGTTATCTCAGTCTTCGATCTTGTAATTAGCATCCACTCACCTTGCTGCCGCATCCCACGGACAGTCGCCATCTACACAAAATCAAACCAGGGGAGCGCCAGTCGCGAGTTTTGATATTTGATTCATAGTTATCGGTTTCACAGCTAAATATAGCAAGACACTAGAGATGCCCTGAGGAGCATTTCCACTTTAGTTTGAATGTTGCACGCCACACATTCGACCATGTAAAGGCAGCCACTATAAGTGGTGCCCAACTAAAAAGCATAGGATCACCCAAGAACCAAGGATCAAAGGAAAAGAACCTTTGGCCCGATGTGAAATTGATATTCCACCATTAGATATTCCACCACCCACTTATTCGGTTTGTTTATAAGTATGCCCTTGGGCATACGCATACAAAGCATTTTGGAAGTTTTGGGAAAGAAGCACATACTTTTAAGTTCAATATGGAGCACTTCCCAGCTGAGTTGAAAGATCACTCAACTTGAACGCTCGGCTGTTCTTTTTGCCTGACTGAGAAAATCTCTTTCTCATAACTTGCGCATGGATCTCCTAGGCGCTACAAAATCCCAGAAAGAATTACAATCCTTACCTCCACAGTTCCGAGAGGAGCCCGGATTGCGCGAGATCGCAGGCATGTCATTCCCGCATTACTGCTACATTGTAGCACTAAAGCCCTAGCTCTCAAAGACGACTTGCACTTTCCCTTTTGTCTCACGTGATTTTTATGAGTGCAAGTGGTTTCTTTGTAATCGTCCATGGCTGCCCAAATGGAGCTCGAGACCGCATCTGTATTGTTGCTACCTATCTCTGCCAGCGCCCATCGTCCAAAACTAGCGAGTCGCTTGATTTTCTAGCTAGTGCGCTCTCCGTGTCCAATTGGTACTGCCACTAAAGTTCTTGAGCACAGGCCAGCGAGAGAAAGCATAAACTTTACCTGTAAGGCGTTGCAATGAAACAAGAGCAAGGATCCACCTAGTAGCGTGGCAAGTCAGTGTGGCACAAGCAAGGAGAGCAAAGGAGCACTCACTGGTGGGCCTGCTGGGAGGAACGGTAGCTCTGATAATTGCGAAGTATCTTGCCAACTTCGGGTAGCTTGAGCCATCGGAGCAAGCTTTCTGGACGATTGCCTCAGATCCTTGTTATCTCCCAGTCTTCAATCTCCTTGTTATCTCTTGTCTTCAATCTTGAAATTCCTCCACTCACCTTGTTGCGGCATCGCCATCTCAAACACAAAAATCAATCTAAAACAATGCCTCTTTGACAGCTAAAAATAGCCGCCTCCACCACTTTAGTTTGACCATGTAAAGGTAATATTTTGATCAAAGAAAAAGGACTTTTGCCCTTTCGCCCAGCGTCGATTTCTGGAAATTTCGGCCCCACTATAAACTCTCACCACTTGCTTGGTTTTTTGTACCCAAGGCATATGCCCTGTGAGCCCTGCATTCCATTCTACATAACATACTAGAATGAACTACATGGTGCTAGATGCTTGCATTTTGGACGTTTAAAACATCTATGACCCTGTGCAAGAAACACATAGCTTTAAGTTCAAAATGGAGAAAACAAGAGTGCACTTACCAGAGTTCAAAGATCCCTCAACTTGACTCCTCAGATATTGTCCGTTTACACAAACCAGAGGCTTGTTCTTGAGGATATCAATGTAGCACGTATCAGATACTGTGGGACAAGTAGGCCAAGTAATAATCTAACAAAGAAAATCTCGATAAAAATTCACAAGGTATGAAAGAAAGTGTATACCGACCGAGATAGACATTGGATGCAAGCGTGGCCGAGACAGCGTCCTCATAACAAATCCCTGCATCAAAATCGCTCCAGTGTCAACAATCGCCACAGCCAAGCCATTGCTGATCAAATCTGGCAGCGCCCCCAGGAAAATGCGGCATGACAGAAAGCATTACCTCCACTGTAGAAACAGGCTTTGATCTACTCGCGGGCGCTCTGACGGCAGGTCACGCCACAGAATCTGTTACGGATTGCGCGAGAAGAACAAAAGCTTTGAACTAAACTGTTTTAGATTTTCTTAAATTATAACGCTACACGCCTTTGGCAATCCCACATCACCAATCTCGCAGCCAGGCTTGTTTGTTTATCAAACGACCTCGTGGTGCCTCACTTACCCACGTCCAGCGGTCCCGGAGACGAGAACCTGCCATTTAGAATCTAGAGGCGAGATAAATATATACGTGAGACGAAACCTTGGTTTCTTCGTTGGAAGGAGGCAAACTGAGCTCCAGCCCGCGGGCGCGGGCTCGAGCGCCCATCGTGCAAAACTAGCCAGTTGCTTGATTCTGCCCTCCTGTTTGACAAGCTTAGAGTTTTTAACCAGTGCGCTCCCCGTGTCGATTCGCCAGCGAGAGAAAGCGGAACTTAAATACCTGTTGAGAAGCACGCCCCATATCCACAAGGACGTTTTGCGCAGGCGGAGGAGAGGAAACACGTTTTGTCTGCATGGACGTGTTAGAGATTACATGTAACGAAAGAACTGACTATGTAATTCACACCGGAGAGAGGCTTTGTGCTGTTTTCATGGCGTTCTCAGCGGTGGCAGCACGCAGCTGAGCCTCGAAATGTGTCTGAGGTTGGCGACCCAGACCCCGAGGAGATAAGACTTCCATGATCGCTTTAGGACTTAGACTCGCTCTTGGTGATAACTTGAACATTCCATCCTCAAACTTTATGGGCGAGGCTTGTTCCAGGAATGCATCCCTGGTAGTACGCTGCTCTAACGTCTCGTCCTCTGGCTTGACGGGGCCATTCGTTGGATTCTCTCGATAACTTCGCAGAACTTCTTTCCATCCGCTCATGTCCAAGCTCACGGCAGGAGTGAGCGCCTTCTGGCCGAGGAACATGTCTGCAGATAGTTTGAATCGAGCCGTGTGTCAGATAGCAAAATGTCCACTCTGACTCGTATACCTGGACGGTCTAAGAGGTCGTTAAGATCAATATCGGATTGAAAGAAACTCCCCTGAGTTTCCGGCAGAATCGAATACTTTGAGGAGAGTTGCTCAACATCGTCACTTGAATCGCCATGCTCCGAGGATAATATTGAGGGTGACTCTGCGTGAGGTTCCAGATGCTCTGGAGCTCTATATGCAGATTTACGACCCTGGAAAAGGAAAAGCTTCGAGCACTAGAAAAAGAAAAGCACCTTAACACCGACCTGGTGTACTTGAAGGTACTGAACAAGAACAATGTGTTCATAAGCACTACATACAAGTCATGATAATACAAGTGAGAAGGATTTCCATCTCTCTTTTTTTTCTTTTCTTTGTTTTTTTGTAGAGAGCTCTATGTACCCTTCCAGCATCCAGTAGCTCCGTTGAAAATTCGGATCCTCCTCTCCACGGGCGCAGTAACAATGCAGCACGTCAATGCTCCCAGACTGCACACAAGATCAGGAACGGATGGTGATGGCCTCGTTCATAACAAGCAAACCTTGAGCCGCTCGTGAGCCTCGCGAACAGCCTTGCCGTCTTTCTTTTTCCTCCAGTTGTGGCCATCCTTCTGAAAGTATTTCAAAGCCTTGCGATCAAACAAGTTGAAGGATCCACCTAGTAGCGTGGCAAGTCAGTGTGAGACAAGCAAAGGGCAAAGCCTAAAGGAGCACTCACTGGCAGGCCTGCTAGGAGGAACAGGGTTGAGATCGAAACCGTATCTCTGATAATTGCGAAGTATGTCACAAACTTCGGGTGGTTTGAGCCATCGTGCGCAAGCTTCCTGGACGATTTGCCCCATGTCGAAGTCTGCCTTAGATCCTCGTTATCCTCAGTCTTGATCTTAAAATTAGCCTCCACTCACCTTGCTGCGGTACCCCGCGAACAGTCGCCATCTCAAACTCAAGCCTCTCGCAAGCCCCAATGATCGCAGGGCCTTAAATGACAAAGAGCTCCGCAAGTTCTAATATTTTAACCTATCAGTTTAACAGCTAAATATAGCAAGGACCGTGAGAAGCATTTCTATTTTAGTTTGAATGCTGCACACCACACATTCCACCATGTAAAGAATATGATATTTTGTGCTGCCAAACGGATAAGGAAAAGAACCTTTTTTGCCCTTACAAAAGTAGATATTCTACCACTATAAATTTGTTTATATCTAAACATTTTATACCACTTGGAGTTTGTCTTGGAGTTTGGAGCAGAAGAGACTAGATATATCATGGATATATATATATATATATGGTCCAAGTGTATGGCTATAATAATATATACTAATATTAGTGTAGTGGAATTTTGATAGCCATTGAATCCATATCACTCACTCATGTATATAAATTAGGATTTTAAGCTGATTGAATATGCACATATTTATATTCCATCTCTATATTTTATGCATTCATATTAGTGGAGGTGAGGGGCAACTTTGATTGTTGAATGCTTTTAATTTAGGCTTTTACATCATTTAAATCTCTCTTTTTTTTGTAATTTTTCAATTTTTTTTTCTTTTGTTTTTCTTCTTTTCATTCATCTTTATAACAGAGAAGCAACCTCCTCCTCCTCCTCCTCATCTTTTGACTATAGAGTAACAATTGGTATAGTTACTAAATTCTATGTAGTTATAGTTGAACAATCAAACTCAGTTAATAGCAACATTCATGGCATGTGGTGCAACTCCTCTTGCTCTTGTTGGCAATCTTTATAGCCGGCCAAAGTTCTCATATGGAAATCTTAAAGATGATGTGTATTATTAGTTTGATCACTTTACAATGATTACCACTTATCATTCTTGGGAAAATATCCAGTGTTTACATGAGTTTCTTATATATCCCCAAGGAATGACATTGTAGTGGTACTATCACAAATATGACTTTGGGTATCGAAAGATATTTATCGGCCAGTCCTTACATACACTCTTTCCTTATTGCCATGATGGCAGGAAGTCGGTACAGTTGGTTTCCTTTATCATTCCCACTTGAGCTAGTTGAGAAACTGGTCAATGACCTTACACTTAAATTGGATAAACATAAGGTAGGAACTCTATGTGTTTCTTGCTGAGCATATTTGGCCTAGTTTGAGAAACTCGCATCATTAGTTTACACTTGTTAGTATCAAGAACTCCCACGATATTGAGACTAATCTCTCAATATCGCTAGATGCTAGTTTACCGTGTCTCTCAAACACCTTTGCTATCATGCCCTTTGTGTTAGTCTCATTTAGGACCAAAATGTAGAAATCATTTCATCACTAGTCATCATATATGCAATTAGACTAGATAAACATAAAATAATAGCTTACCATATTTGCATTACACTTGCTATATCAATTAAGCACATTTATAAGAGTGTTCAAAACACAATAGTGTTGTTCCTATGTTTAGATTTATGATTTAGCACTATTTTATATTTAGCAAGTTATAAGGATAATCTAGTGAAGTTGTGTTAACCCACTACTATATTAAAATTGTATTAGACTATATTTAGCTTTGTTTTATGTGTCAATCTTAGCATTGAGATCCAAATACTTTAAGTTGTTTTTAAATAATTTTTATTCACATAAAAATTTAGATCTTGCTTGAATTATAAATTTGTTATTGAATATCTTATACACAAAAATCCTTATAAAAATTTAATGTTTAAAACATCTGGTTGTTGAATGCTCATATACTTATTAGTTACATACTTTGGGAATTCAATTCCATCCTTTTTTTCAATGGCTCAATGCTCTAAAACTAAGTTTCACTCCATTACATTTGTTCAAAGGTTAGATTTGGCTTTATGGCCATGGAGTATAAGGTTAAAAATTACATGTGCTACATTTGAAATCAAAGAATTACTATTTAATGTGATGGCAACTACATATGTAAATAAAAATCTTATTATGTACATATTTAGTTGTTGTGGGTTCATATATGTCTCTTGAATTTTAATATAAACTATCATGTACTATATTATACTCATGTTGTATTGTCTTAGGGAGTGTGAATTTTGGGATGTACCATTTTATATGAATTTTTGTTTGGGCTTGTCAGATGATGTATAAGGGTTATAATTTGAGTCATTACTATATTATTGTAGGTAAAGTTAAATGTCTCTTAAGTTCTTGAAACTGGTAAATAAACTAGTACTTAGCTGTTTATTATAGCATTAGTGGATCCTTCCTAGACATGGTTTGTATTTAAGGACTATTTACACTTTGTTTAGGCTTAACAATGATAGACTTGCTTTACTATGGTATTGTTGGGTTGGTATGGTTTTCTTTTTTTATAGCATGTAAGCTTAACTTTGTTAGTATTGCTTAGTTGAGTTTAGCTTATAATGTTAGATTACATTGAGTCTTAAACATGATAATTCACTCATTAGTGATATATTATATATAACTAAGTTGAAATTGGAAGAACTAATTTTGGATATTACTAAGGTGTCTAACTTTAGTTAGCTCAATTGCTAAAGAGTTGTGCTCAATTGTTAAAAAGTGGTGGTTCTTTTACTTTATTTTAATGTTGACAATCTTGATATTGTGGAGTTAAAATTAAAGTGAGATGAAATATTTTCTCTATGGGGATATTAAGAAAGTAAAAATTTTCATCTGTGTGAGTCAAATGGTTGATAATCTGTTAGACCTTCATTGGAAATTCAATGTTATATTAATCTTGATAAAATGGTGTTGATGAGATGGTTATACTTTTGTATTATTAACATTCATAAATTTGTTAGTTATCTTCAAGAGAAAATGGATTACTAAATACAACTAACTATTTTATCAATTGATTTTTTGTTTGAGATGGTGATGCTACAGCAAGGTGAGTGATGTTTAATTTCAAGATCCAAGATGTGAGATAACAAGGATTGAGGCAACACAGACTTCAATATGAGGCAAATCATCTAGGAAGTTTGTGTTTGATAATTTGAATAAAGTTTTTTTTGCCTATACTCGCATTCTTACCCCTACTAGCAAAATAGTGACAAACAAACAAAAACAAGAATGTAGTATTGAGAAGAAGAAAAGAAAAAGATTGAGAAGTGAATAGAAAAGAACTTAGCCTCAAACCCTAAAGGCGTAAGTAAGAATAAACATATGTCACTCTCTCAACTCTACTTTGCACAAATAGTCATAAGTGGAAGAAACTATAGTTAATTTAATGTAAATGCATGCAATATTGAGTGGGGGTTATTTTCCAGAACGTTTAAATGTTACTTATATACTACATAAATTTATAAATGTTCCTAACTTCCTTACACTTGTTTATGACAGGCATTGCTTAAGTCAGGTCTTTCTTTTTTAGATGCTTAAGCTTAAGTATAATTCCATTTCACCTAAGTTTTCTTCTTTTGCTCTGCTTAAAGAAGATATACAATATAAAACATTTACCTCTTCATCATAGTTTAAACCATATAAAATTTGTGATGCTTCAAATTATCAGAGTTATGGTTTCAAATTGAACTCCATTTCTCCTAACAAGCCTGCTAGTGAGTGCTCCTTGCTCCTTGCTTGTGTCACATTGAATTGCCGCTACTAGGCAGATCCTTGTTGTTGTTTGATCACAAGGCCTTGAAATACTTTCTGAAGGATGGCCACAACTGGAGAAATTAGAAAGACATCCAAGCTGCTTGTGAGGGTCACGAGAGGCTCAAGGTTTGCTTGTAATTCCTAGGCACAACAAAGCCATCACCATTGCAGCACTTTGGTTCCTGATCTTATTCCAGTAGCTCCATTGAAAATTTGGATCCTCTTCTCTGGGCGTAATAACAATGCAGCATGTTAATGCTGCCAGACTACATTACTGGAAGGGTACATAGAGCTCTCCAAAAAAAACCAAAAAGAAAAATTTGAGATGGTATCCTCACTTGTATTATCATGACTTATAGTGCGTGTGAGCACATTGTTCTTGTTCAGTACCTTCAAGTTTTCCCGGGTCATGCAGGTGGATACAGAGCTCCAGTGCGTCTGGAAGCTTTCTTGCACCCTTCTGCCGGAAACTCAAGGGAGTTTCTTTCGGTCTGGACAAGGTGGTGGCTCGATTCAAACTATCTGTAGACATGTTCCTCAGCCAGAAGGCTCTCAGTCCTGTCGTGAGCTTAGACATGAGTGGATGGAATGAAGTTTTGTGAACCTATCGAGAATGGCCTGGTCAAGCAAGAGGACGACACTTTAGAGCAGCGGACTACCAGGGATGCATTCCTGGAACAAGCATCGGCACACCATCCAACTAAAACATCATGTGAGCAATTGAATCGATGGGAAGCCAAGTGTCAAAGCTCTCCGTGTTGACACACTGGGATCAGAGTAGAGAAATAGTGGGAGCTAGTGGGGAAGCAAGAAACGAAGCACTCTCTCTCGTTTTTTCTTTTTCACCGTGGGGACGTGTATTTTTTGAGGGGAGGCGCAGGCGGCGCATTCTGTACCCGGGTAGACGCTAAATTAGCCATGCATTTGCGTCAATTTGCACGGCCTCGAGCTTTCCACGTTTTTTTTAAGGAGTGTAATCTTCGGTATATCCACTGTTTTGTTCTTTTTTCATTATATGGTTTGCCCAAAAGAGACGTGTTGTTTTTTCTTACTTTCTTTTTGCCCAGCTATAGTTCGCTGGGATGAACCCTCCACTCTCCGGTGGTAAGAACCACTATAGTGGGTGCTAAGGCTCACCATATGTTTGCAAGACATAAGCTTTTCTCACTTTGTCATGTGTCAATTTGTGAAACTAAAGATATAGCTAGACGTCCTTGAAGTGGTTGATTAACTTTGTTACATCTCACTTTGCTCCGGGACTTTAGTACATAGTAGTAGTTTATTCAGATATCACAGCCAATTCAAAGAGAATCTAATATAAGAAAACTAAACAATAGAAGGTGGATATAATAAAAAGGTAAAAGAATATGTCACTCTCTGTTGCAAATACTTAAATACAATTTGGAAATGATATTTGGAAACAAATAATAAATATACTAATGTATAGTGTAACCTAGTACTGATCTATCTTAATATAAAAGAGGAAACAATTATGCTCAACCAAAATATGTAGATTTCTTACAAGTCACGGTCACCGTGAATCGATCCGATAGGACCTACATTTTAAATAAATATGATAAGTCAAGCTTCCTTTTAGTATTACCAAATACATACATTTAGCGTCAAACCAACCGATCTATGTGATAGTACAAATCTCTCTAAGTCTAAGAAATCTTTTATCAATAATACCATATACCTCGTGCGCACTGGAAATAGCTATTATAGCGATAAATCAGATTGTAGATGCCTTTGTTGCACAATATGGCTTTCTAAAAACACTCTCCTTTACAGCGGGAGCGATATTTTTTACAGCTAAATATAGCAAGACAGCCCTGAGGTCCACTTTAGTTTGAACGTTGCGCACCACACATTCCACCGATTTGTAACTGTGTGCCCTCCATTCCCAGAAACTACCTAACTAGCTAATGTTGTAAAGGGTCCCATATCTGGACTGTAAGCACAATCCTACATAACGTTCTAGAATGAAATACATGTTGGTGCTAGAGTCTTGCATTTTGGAAGTTCCAACATCTATGGCCTGAGTTGAAAGATCCCTCAACTTGAACTCCTGCCTCGGCTGCTCTTCTCCTCAATGCCTGATTGAGAAAATCTCGCTCTCAAAACTTCCATAACTTCTGCCATCTTCACGTCTTGCGCTGCAAGCAGCACCATCGAATGGTACAAGACGTCGGCCATTTCTGATACAGTCCTTTTCCTGCCTTCGTTTTCTTCCACTGTCTTGCACAGCTCACCCGCCTCCTCCCTGCCAAAGTTTCTAGTCAAGCGCGAGAGGCATGAAAGCAGAGCACACCTTATCTTGGAGCAAAGCAGCTTCTGGTCCTGCAAAAGCCGCTTCGTCCACGACGGCTTTTTCCCATCGGGCTCTGACTTCCGCTGTTGAATAACTCTTTCCAAATCGTACAAGGTAGAAGTTGCCAATCCATTCTCTCCGATCTGTAAAAAAACCTATCAGTGGAAGAACGATATTGTGAGTTTACACAGACCAGAGGCTTGTTCTGGAGGATATCAGCAGCACGAGTAAAGTAGCACGTATCAGCTCCTGTGTGACAAGTCGGCCCGTCAGGCTTTCCCAAGTAAATAATCTGTAGAGGAACAACACGAAAACAAAAGCTCGATAAGAGCTCACAAAAGTATGAAAGAAAGAGCGTACCGAATCTCTATCACAGTCGAGATAGACATCCACAACATCAATAAAATTGGATGACGTCTCTCCTTTGGTCCAAAGAGATCGACGACTTCGACTAAAATACGTCGCTCGCTTGGACGCAATCGTGGCCGAGACAGCGTCCCGATTAACAAATCCCTGCATCAAAATCGCCCCAGTGTCAACATCCTGCGCAATCGCCACAGCCAAGCCACTGCTGTCCCATTTTATCAAATCCAGCAGCGCCTCCACCTGCGCATGGATCTCCTAAGCGCTACCAAATCCCAGAAAAGAATTATAATCCTTACCTCCACAGTAGAAACAGGCTCCGATCTCGCGAGAGCTCTAGTGGCAGCTCTGGACGCTGCGCCAGAGAATCTCCTGCTCAAGCACACTTGCGCCGGAGGAAATCTACGAGAGAAGCCCGGACTGCGCGAGATCGCGGGCATTTCCTTCCCGCATTGCTGCTGCATTGCCGCCACTAAAACCCTAACTCTCTGTTAACAAGCTGTTAAAAAAAACTCTCCTTTAACAACTAAACCAATAACCCATATAAACACGAAAGTATTTTTATTTCTCGAACGATAAAAATTTCTCTAAATTATAAATATTACAAAATCAGATTGCAGATAATTTATGGTAGAAAAAAAAGACTATAAAATAGCAAAATTGTTTTTGAGAAAATAGGCAACAATGGCGAATTTATCTATATTCCTCTGTGTGTTTCTTGCCATTACTATTGCTTGCTGCTGTGGCCAAAGTGCGTTAGCATCTCACGATCACACTGGAAAGAAGAAGCCCAGGGATGGGGACCGAGATTGGTCGCCCAAGCATTCACCACCATCACACAAGGCTCCAAAGGCTCCAAAGGTTAGATCTCCTCCTCTGTTTGAAGATGAATCTCCTCCGCCACCCCATCATGCTCCAAAGGCTCCGAAGGCTCCAAAGGTTAGATCTCCTCCTCCGTTTGAAGATGAACCTCCTCTGCCACCCCATCATGCTCCAAAGCCTCCGAAAGCTCCAAAGGCTCCGAAGGCTCCAAAGGTTAAATCTCCTCCGCCAGCCAAGGCTCCTCCTCCCCCTTCTGTCACGCTACCACGGTCGCCGCCACCACCCAGGAGCTCGTCACCGCTCACTGGCAAAGAGTTTGACGTCAAGAGCTATGGAGCTGTCGGCGATGGAAAGCACGATGATGCCCAGGTATGTGATCAATCTTACGATGTTTTGATTTATAATTTCCGATTTGCAGGCCTTCCTAGACGCTTACAATGCAGCATGCCAAGCCGGCGACAATGCCGTTATCTTGGTTCCATCGACGTCGGCGGGCTACTACCTCAGCCCAATCTCGTTTGGAGAGTGTACCAGCGTCACAATGAAGGTTAATCACATATCACATGATGTTTCATATCCTAAAATGTATATCAATATTTCAGGTGGATGGAACTCTGCATGCCATCCCAAGGAGTGCGTGGCTGTCCAAGTTTTCCTCCGAGAAAAGCTGGCTCCTGTTCACTAAGGTGACGGACTTCACACTGACTGGCGGAACTTTCAACGGCAACGGCCAAGATTGGTGGGCTCATTCCTGTAAGAAAGACAAAAGCCAGGTAAGATTTCTTAGATTCCCAAAAAAAATAAGAGATTGACTTGTAAATTGTGAATTTTTGCACCAGCGCTGCACAGATGCTCCCACGGTAAAGTTTAGATTATATGCATGATTGCGTGATTGATTGATTTACTGTAGGCTGTGAGGTTTGAGGACAGCAAGAACATCAAGGTGGAAGGCATCACCATAACCAACAGTCCCCAAATCCACATTACGTTTTCGGACTCTCAGGCCATCCAGGCAACAAACGTGGTGATAAATTCTCCAGAAAGCAGCCCAAACACCGATGGTATTCACGTTTCAGGGAGCACTAATGTTGTAGTTAGAGACGGAGACATCTCTGCCGGTAACTTTCCTATATCAGATTCTGATATCAGTGTTTTAACTATCTTTTCTTTGCACACATATCTGAAGGTGACGACTGCGTGTCGATTGTTTCTGGGAGCTCCAACATCCAGGTTTTGGGCGGGCGATGCGGCCCTGGTCACGGCATCAGCATCGGAAGCCTTGGCAAGGGCGGGTCTTACGCCACCGTTTCCAACGTTCAAGTCTCAGGTGTCAAGATCGACGCGGCCACAAATGGCGTACGGATCAAGACATGGCAGGTAAAAGTTGGTAAAACCATCGAAACACTTTGACGAAACTGCATGAATGTAGGGTGGCAAAGGTTACGTGAGCAATGTGATATTTGAAAATATCAGCATGGACAACGTGAAGAACCCGATCATTATCGATCAAAACTACTGCGATGGCGGCTGTGGCAAGAAGCGGGTGAGATATCAAATATTCGACACACCCCGTCTCTTCTCACTTGCTAACGTTTGTATGATTTTGTGAAACCAGGGGTCGTCTCTAACAATCCAGGGAGTTACGTACTCGAATATCGTGGGCACTTCGGCATCTCCGGACGGCATCAACTTGCACTGCAGCTCAAGCGGCGCATGCACGAACATCCACTTCAGCAATGTCAAGCTGACCCTGGGCAGCTCTGGAAAGGCGGCTGGAGCGGTTTGCGAGAATGTTCAAGGCTACACCTCAGATTGCAGAAGTTCAAGTTAGGTTGCAACTTATATTTCCAATCTTTGATGTCTATTTGCGTCTATTTCGATTATAAAGTATAAAAGTTTTGGATCTTAGTCCTGGCTGGAGCACACGATAGCGCAGCTTTACTTCTCCGTGTCACTGTTGCTGCGCCTTTGTAGCTGGCAAGCAAGAAAAAACAAATGATGCTTTGCTTCGGTGCTTGTGACCGGAAACAAGAAAAAATAACCTTTGGGAACATCTGGCAGCATAAGATATTCCAGGGAAAGATCACGTTGGAAGCTCAAAAATCTGGAAACAGATCGAACAAAATAAAATAAAAAACTGAAGAGCTCACCAAGTCTTCTTAATCATTCCATGTCGAGGCGAAACGCGGAAAAAAGTTACTCCAGTGAAAGATCGAGTACTGAAAGAGAGACGAAAATAGCTTGCCATTGGAAAAGAAAAGAGAAGAACAGCTTGCCATTAGTACACCATATTCTCGCGTTGGATCTAAGAGACCCGAGCCAATGGATGAAAGCGCATCGTCAAAGCGTGGTGTTGGTTGCGGGACGAACATGCGCTGCTTTGCTGCGAAATGAGGACGAGGACCCACACGGCAGTGGCACATGTCCAAGACGCGAGAATTTGTGCGAAAACTCAAGCCAAGAGCAGCGTTGTGACTTGATCGAACCACCAACACAAAGGCTTCATTCCTCCTTCCAACAACCAAAGCCTTGAATAAAAACTTCCAAGCACAACTGCGAAACAATGTGAGGGTCCACGAATCAGAGTCATTAGCAAACTCCAGCTAACATACCACTCGATGCCGACAGACCACCAACAGCGGGAAAATCTTTATTTTTTGTCCACCACCTCTACTTTCTTGTTGATAACTAATCGTTCAATAATAAGCCGGATCGACTAGTTAAAGCTCCAGCTGCTGCTTCCCTGTTGTTTCTAAAGACAGAGCCAGGACGACATTTAAGAAACATGAAGGAAAAGCATAGAAAGGAAACTTACCACTGGCCTGTCTTTCGGTGCCTCGATCGTGTTTTTGGATCCATTTAGCTCGCCTCTTCTTCCTGGAGCAACGCCAAAGGAAAGCCGACGCTTGCAGCAGAGTGTAGCAGTGGCGCAGCAGTGGCCGTGAGGTTGATGTGTGCGCTTCCCTCGTTTCAGTAAAGAGCACGGCTCTTCCGAGTCTACAGCTTTGGTGAGGTCTTGATTGAAAGGCTCGTAGGAGCAGCTCCATAGTCAGATAGACGTGGCCACTTCCTTGCAGCATTGCGAAATCTATCAGTCTCAACTCCGTGCAGGCTTTAGCTCTCCATTCGCTTCGCTTGGCAGGAGCAGGAGCACACAAGAGTTGTTCACATTCAGGTTCCTGCTCGAAAAAGAAACTGTGAGTCACAAGATCGAAAGAAAGACAAAAGAAAGTAGTCACTACTTACATTCCTGCTTGCTGCTGCTGCCGCTGGAATCGTAGTGAACAAAAGATCTCATCGCTTCCTATCGATGCCAAGATGAATAACAGGAGAGCGAGGACAGTCCTGGCGCTCTTGAGCTGCTGCTTCTGCCTCTCACTCGCTCAGCAGCCGGGCCGATTCAACATTGTTCTCCAGAATGCCGGCATTTCCTCCATGCACACCGCCGTCACTCACTATGGTAACGTCATCTTCCTCGACCGCACCAACATTGGGCCTTCGGCAATCAACCTGGTCGGAAACTGCCGAGATAATCCAGCAGACATGATGACCACTCACGACTGCACCGCTCACTCGGTCATCTACGATCCATCCTCTAACACGGTACGCCCCGTTTTCATATACTCGGACACCTGGTGTAGCTCCGGCCAGTTCCTTCCCAATGGAACTCTCATGCAAACCGGGGGGAGTGCCGACGGTGGTAGCATCATCCGCTACTTCACTCCCTGCTCCAGCGGTTCCTGGTGCAACTGGATGGAGTCGAGCACCAACTTGCAATCCTCAAGGTGGTACGCGAGCAACCAGATCCTCCCCGACGGACGAATTATCGTTGTTGGCGGCCGCGGAGTCTACAACTACGAGTTCCAGCCGACTGGCGGCCAGTTCTATCTCCAGTTCCTCAAGGATACGGCCGACTTCCAGGATGACAACTTGTATCCATACCTCCACCTCCTCCCAAGCAACCTTCTCTACATCTTTGCGAACCGCGACTCGATCCTGCTCAATTACTTCACCAACACCGTCGTCAGGAAGTTCCCGACCATCCCAGGCGAGCCGAGGAACTACCCCTGTTCCGGAAGCTCCGTCATGCTCGCTCTCGACACCGCCAACAGCTACTCAAAGGCCGAAGTCCTCGTCTGCGGTGGAGCAAACCAGGCCTCGTTCAAAAGCTCGGGCCCTCAATACGGTGCCTCGCAGACCTGCGGCCGGATGGAAGTCACCTCCAACTCCCCCTTCTGGGACATGTCCTACATGCCTTTCCGGAGAAACATGGGAGACATGGTGCTGCTTCCGACTGCCAAAGTCCTGATCATCAACGGCGCACAAAACGGCTCGCAAGGATATCTGCTCGCTTCCAATCCCATCCTCAATCCGCTTCTCTACGACCCGGACAAGAAAACTTTCGAGATCCAGGCTCCGTCCACCATCCCCCGAGTTTATCACTCCACCGCCAACCTTCTTCCCGACGGCCGAGTTCTCGTTGCTGGGAGTAACACCCGCTACACGTATCAGTACACTGGCCCATTCCCGACCGAGCTCCGAGTGGAAACCTTCTCTCCGGCATACTTGGACGCTACCAATGACTGGCTGAGGCCGAGGATCGCGAAGAACCCCTTCACCATCACCTACGGCATGCCTTTCAGCGTCGACGTTGCGATCCCCGGAAAGCTGGTCGGGAACATCCAGCTTACGCTGCTGAGCTCGCCATTTACCACGCATTCCTTTTCGCAAGGCCAGCGGCAGCTCAAGTTGCCAGTAGCAGCATCGGTGCTGAGTTACGCCAACACTTACTATGTGGCCAGCACGGCACCCCCGAGCTCCGGCGTGGCTCCTCCATCTTACTACATGCTCTTTGCGCTTCACAACGGGATCCCCAGCCAGGCGGTATGGGTCCTGGTGACGAGTTAAGAGCGCCCATATCTCTTCTTTCTCTTTTTTTTGCCATTCTTTCCTGGATCTCTACAAGCCATTCTTTTGGTTGCTCCGCTGCTAGCAATGCGAGATCCCTGCCATATAAATATTCATCGAGGTAGATGCTAGGAATAAAGAAAGAAACATTTAAGCTTACTTGATAGCTCATGATCCAGCGCGGCGCTTAAGATTCCTGGAAAAACTTGATCGAATCCCAGCATGACGCTTAAGATTCCTGGAAAAACTTGATCGAATCCCAGCATGGCGCTTAAGATTTCTGGAAAATGATCTTAAACTTGATCGAATCCCCGTCCGCCCTTTTCGAGAAGAGTAAATTTCCTGACCGCCTTTCTGACACACTGCCTGAATCAGCAGAGCATTGAAAGCTTGTTAGGTAAGTGGAGTGTGACGAATAAATTCATCTCCTCTTTTCCACACCTTTACCCATCGCCGCTGCGATCTCTTCGCTCGATCCATCGTCTCTCTGCGAGCTTGGCCATGGCTTCCTCGACCCAAATCGTCCTCCTCCTCCTGGCGCTTGTCTTCGCAGCGTTTCTACACGGTGAGCATTGGATCTTGCGACGGTGGTCTCTGTAATCTCGGCATTTTCATTCCAGATGCCCACGCCTACACTGCCGGATTCGAGATGAGCGAGGCACAAGTGACTGCCGCTTCCAAGAGCTCCACAGGTAAGCTCTCTCTTGGATCCATTCTTGTTTGATCCATCCAAGTCGCGCAAATCTCTTCCTTGGGCAGGCTGCGCCACGGATTTCTCCAAGGTGGACTACGCCGAGGTGACGAGCGTTTGCAAGGGACCCCAGTATCACCAGGAGGCGTGCTGTGGCGCGTTCAAGAAGATGGCTTGCAAGTACACGACCCAAGTGAACGATTTCTCCACCACTTGCCCGGTCGAATTCATGGCCTATCTCAACTACGCTGGGAATTACCCCAATGGCGTCTTCGTCGGGCGATGCAACAGTGGCAGTAGCCTGTGCTCCTAGAAGATTTGACTATGGATTCTTCATAGATCAATCAAGCTCTTGGATCGATCGCTCGATCCATAGATCCCTCCATTGTTTTGCTTGATATTATTTCTATCATCGATTGATATATGCAAGAAGACTATAAGCCCTAGGTTTTGTCTGTGTTCTTGGAGAATGGGTGAGCGCATTCTTCCATGGCGCCAGCTACTGGAGAGCGCTCTAGAATCGCATTCTCGGCTCCGGCACAGCAGATTTTGTCAGCTGGTAAGAGATTCCTCCCTGATTCAAGCAAAGCAAGACGAAGATTTCTTGCTAGAGCTGCCGGAAGAGAGAATTTTCTGGAATTTTTCCTTTAATTGCGTAGTTGTGAGAGCTTGAGTCATTCTCGAGTTTCTTATGATCTGGTTCGTAGTCTCAGGAGTTCTTCGTGCTCCTGTGAAGATCTCTTTTCGGTAATGATTCTGGAGCTTGCATCTTTTCCTGGAAGAGAAATTCGGATTCGTGATTTCTGGAATTCTTTCTCTTACACGCTGTTCATGCGATTTCTTGCTAGAGCTGTCGGACAAGTGAATTTCTGGAAAATTTTTTCCTTTGATTTCGTAGTTGTAGAGCTTAGTCATTCTCGAAATTCTCGTGATTCTAGCTCGTTTCTCCCAGGAGTTCTTCGTGCTTGCTGTACTGTCCTGTGAAGATTGTGTGCAGCTCTTTTTGGTAATGTGTTTGCATGCCTTCTTGATTTTCCTGGAAGAGAACTTCGGACTTTTTTTTCACTTGAATTCTGGAATTCTTTCTTACAAGCTGTTGTTCATGCGATTGGCAGGCTACTGTTAGAGCAAATGGAACACCCGCAAATCGAACTGTCGTTTTCAGGCAAGTCTTTCGTGTCTTTGAGAGTATCTGCCATGGCCAACTGGCTTTTTTGTGGTTTTTCTTTTGGTTCTCGACCAGGGGATTTGCTGACGGGACTGACGATCTGCTGTTTACGACAGACTCCAGAAGCAACAAGGCAAGCATGCTGCCAAAAGCTTTCACTCCGATCTCTCGCGGCTAAATATGTGATAGCTCTCCTTGTTTCCTTTGCAAGGTACAAGAAGCTCAACACTGTCCCGTGGCCGAGGTGATTGACGCTGTTTGATTCTAAGTATTTCTTCTTCTAATCTTTTTCCTTGCAGGTTTGTTATTACTTCACTGATAGCTGGGAACAATTTCGCATTCACGGTGACATCGAAGTTATAAGCCACACGGAAGACGATCCGTTAAAGAAAGAGGTGCGCTTTTCGGTTCTAGAAAAAGCTGGACTTTGATCTTGTGGTCTGTGTGTAGATAAGAGAGAAGTCATGGTTTAGCAGCTCTTTGCAAACTCGAAAACAATTTACGTGGCCACATCCAGGCCAGCCAAAAGAGTCTCATCCAGAAGAGGTTCGGCTCGAGAGCACGCAGCCCCCCGTTGATACCTTCTGCGTTGTTACGCTCCACCCGGTTGAGGTCTGTGAAGTTTTGATTTTTTTTTCCAGAAGATTACAATCTTAGCGAACAGGTTGACTACTTGCATCTTAAACAACACAAGAGAATAGTGTTCCGGAGCTCCAGCGGTGGAGATTGGACGAGCCAGGCAGTGAATCCTTGAGATCGGGCTAAAGTTAAGCTTTTCTTTGTTTGTTCTATATCTCTTTGACGCATTCAAGCAGGTTTTGATACTTTTTAATCGAGTGCAGACAGATTTGTCTCGTTGATCAATGCAGGATACGCAAGTCGCGGGTCGTTTGCTAGAAATTTTGGTGAGATATTGTTTTGTTACCTTGTTATCTTAAAACCAGCCTCGTGGTTTGTGTCCAAGCGTTTTCTTTCTTCCTTGATTTTCCAGCAATGCCGTCGCTCCAAGTCGCCAAGGAGTTCCCCGATGGATTGTTCTTCGTGGATCGATCCTTTGCTCGCAAATCCATGCCCAAGTCCCTCTGCGTGGAAGCGGATCCTAGCGGCAATCCAATCGCCTCGAGAGACGTAACCATCGACGAGAAGCTCCGGATCTGGGCGAGGGTCTTTCTCCCCAAAGGTAAGAACGAAAAGCTTCCAGTAGTGCTCTACTTCCATGGCGGCGGATTCGTGTCCTTCACCGCGAATACCTTGGAGTTCCATGTCCTCTGCGAGAGCATCTCCAAGAAACTGGGAGCTCTCGTGATCTCTGTCAATTACCGCCTAGCTCCCGAGAACCGGCTCCCGGCGGCTTACGACGATGGATTCGCGGCGCTCAAATGGCTCGCTCAAGAACAGGGAGGCCGCAAGGATCCGTGGATCGCTGCCCACGCCGATCTCTCCAAGATCCTGGTGATGGGCGATAGCGCTGGGGGCAATCTCGCGCACCATGTCGCAATGCGAGCGGCGGCGGAGGATTTGGGCGAGCTCCAGATCAAAGGGCGCGTCTTGATCCAGCCATTCTTTGGCGGCATTGTTCGGCTTCCTTCCGAGACCAATCTCCAGTCACCCACTTCGCTGCTCAGCACGGATATGTGCGATCGGTTCTGGGAGCTGGCACTGCCGGTTGGAGCGAGCAGGAATCATCCCTACTGCCGCGTCTTTGCGCCGGATCTGAAGGCCCAGCTGCGCGAGCTCGATCTGCCCAGCACCCTCGTCGTCGCCGGCGGGCTCGACGTGCTGCGCGATCGCGCGCTGGAATTCGTGGAGGTGATGCGCGAATGTGGGATGGATCCGGAGCTTTTGCTGCTCGAGGCCGCGGATCACGCCTTCTATGTTGCTCCAGGATCCCGGGAAGTGGCACAATTCTTGGACAAACTATGTTCGTTCGCGCGAGGCATATTCGTTTCATCCTAAAGCATATTCGTTGTTTTGCTATTCTATCATTCTTGATTCTATGATATTGGGATGGTTTCTAGCGCTAGCCCTCAATCCGAGGATGTCACCAGCTGCAAGGAAACAAGCTCGTCCTCTGGAATCGTCCGGATCCGGCAATCCTCCAGCGGATACGCGACGCACAGAAGAGCGTAGCCCTTGTCGACCACATCGTCGCTCAGCATCCCCTCCGATTGATTCACTCGCCCCCTCTCCAGCTTCGCGGGGCAAGTCATGCACACCCCGAGCTTGCAATCGTGCGGAACCTCCACCCCTTCCTCGAGCGCCTTGGACAGGATCGTCTCGTCCTCGGGCACTCTCAATGTGTGGATCTTCCCCTCGTGCTCCATCTCCACCTCAAACACCCTCGGCCCCGCGCACTGGAGCCTCGCGCCGCGCATCCTCGCCCTACCCAGCGCCGAATTTCCCCCAAATCTCTCACCTCGCGCCCGGACGAGGCACATTCCAGCCACACCCAGAGTCGCCATTGCCACAGCTCTGTTTTTAGGTCACCACATTCAAACATCCATATTGCCGTTGACCAGGGGCCGTTGACAGGATAGTCAACGGCCCATTTAACATAGTTGACTGGAGGCTGTGGCCATTGACCAGAGGCTAGAAGTATTCAACGTCGTCGCTCTTGGATCCCGTGTTCTTCTTCCGCCAGAGGAGCGCCTTGGGGACCTCGGGCGGGGCGGCGCAGCGAACCAGCGCCCAATTCGTGCCCGCGAAGAAGGGGTGCTGCTTGATCTCCACGGCGCCCCTGGCGGAGGCAATGCGCTTGGCGGGATCCTTGGCGAGGAGGCCCCGGATCAAGCTCCTGGCGTCCTCGCCGAGCTCCACGCCCTCGGCGGCTCCCCCGAATTCGAGCGGCTTGGTCAGCACATTCACCAGCGTGCTCTCGTTGTCGCCCCCCTTGAAGGGCGTCCTCCCGTGGAACATCTCGAAGAGGAAAATGCCCAGCGTCCACCAGTCCACCGCGCTGCCGTGGCCATAGCCGGAGATTATCTCGGGCGCCAGGTACTCGTGCGTGCCCACGAACGACATGGAGCGCGCGCCCGTGGGCTCGGCGACTAGCTCCGGGAGGGGGTTGACCCGTGTTGACCTGAGTTGACCGGCTGGGGGCATCGGGCGGTCCACCGTGCAGGGAGCGACACACGCTGGCAGGATGCACGACGGCGATGCGCCCCCGCCGAGGCGCCCTAATTTGCCGGTTGAAGACGAGGACGAGGAGAAAGAGGGGGCTCTTCTTCTGGCTGCTGTTCCTGGAGGTGGCGATTGGATCACCGTAGGGCTCACATCGCAGATCAGGGAGAGGTCGAAGTCCGAGAGCATGATGTGGCCGTCGTGGCGGACGAGCACATTCTCGGGCTTCAAATCCCGGTAGACGACGCCCATCATGTGGAGGTACTCGAGCGCGAGCAAGATCTCTGCCGCGTAGAACCTGCGAGATTGATCAATCAAGGCCACATTTGGATCGATCACGGCCGAAAAGAGGAGAAATAAAAACAAATCCTACCTCACTGCTTCGTTGTCGAATCGCTTTGTGAGCTGCCGCTGGCGCAGCGTGTGGAGATCTCCTCCCGGGCAGTACTCCATAATCAGGCACGAAAAATTCGCCGTGTCGAAGTGCGCGTAGAGCGTTGGGAGGAAGGGATGATCGAGCTTCTCCAGGATGGACCTCTCGGTGGCAGCTCTCAGGAGCTTGTTCCTGGCTGCCAGAGCGGTCTTGTCCATCACCTTCATCGCAAACAGGCAGCGAAAGCCCCGCAATTCCGATAGATAGACGCTGCCGATGTCGCCGCTGCCCAATCGCTGGAGGAGCTTGAAGTGGGAGAGATTGATGTTCCCGTCGCGCGCTTCCACCGACCGGATCGCCTCCCATCCCGCATCGTTGGCCTTGTGAGGTTTACTGCTGCTGCTCCTACAGCTACTAGATCTAGATACCACGGATTGGCGGTCCTCCTCGTTGTCATCCCCCATTTCGCTGGTTCCTCGTCCAATCCTGCTCGATTCCAGGCCAATTCCTGCGAATTCTTCCAGATTACGACACTAACCCGCGATCAAAGCGACCCCAGGACGGAAAGAATCGATCTTGGCGTCCAGGAGCAGCCAATTTGATGGGGAAATTGGGGTCCCCTGTTTGGGCGATCAAAAGAACAGCTCCTCGTAGCGCCGGTCGCGCCACGAACATCACCAGTTACGCTTTTAGACCAGTAAACATGGGAGGAAGAATCATCGCCCTTTGTCGCTAGTCAATTGACTGCCCCTTTCTTTCCCATTCACTACTGTGCCGCCCTGAAATTTAATGCGTGAACAACGCTCGGCTCGTGTGGCCCGTGCCCTTCTCGCTACCCCGCTGGCCTGCTCGCTTTCGGATCCATTGATCCCTGCGATCTTTCCACCTACGCGCGATCAAGACCCCAAGAGCCCTAAAAGGTAATGCGCCTACAGAGCAAATCGCAAATGTGAATGTGCTTAGAATATGCTCTGTTAGGTTAGATTCACTCTCACTTTTTTTTTTGTGTTATGCGTAATGTCACAAAGATACTAGAATATACTCTAGGTTAATTTAGCCGCAGGACATAATCACGTGACCGGACATAGAAGAAATCGGACGGCTGGGATTTTGCCACGTTTGTGGACAGCGTGGCCATGTCATTCAAATCATTCTTTTGCCCGCCTTCGAGCTAGGTCCTGCAAAATGGAGGACGAGAGCGCGGAGGGCAGCGATCAAGGCGCCAGGTCTGCGTGATCATGTTTGAGGTTTAGGCCGATCGGCGAGGCGTCTCTCTTGCAATCTCTCGCTGCGTCTCGCGTGCTTGTGAAATTTCTCTTGTCGGGAGCTTGTTTTCACCGTCTTTCGTGATCGTTCGGCATCGATGCTGTCTCTCTGGTCGATCTCGCCCGTAATATGTGAGCTTCTAAAGATTTTCTTTTGATTTTCCTGGTTTCTCGGCGCACCAAGGATTAATTGCGATGAGCGTCGTTTTGCCTCCTCCTCCTCCCTTTCACCGCCTACCAATGCGTTATCAGATCGAAGGAAGTCCTTAGCTTTGATCATGCTTGAAGAAGTCTCGAAAGTTTCAAGAAATAGAGCTAATGCCCAGATTTTTTTTGTTTGCAGTTCTTCCGATGAGGAAGTGATTTTGCGTGAGCTTGAACCAGAACCAGAAAGGTATTCCATAACTTTGAAGTTCATCTTTCTCAAGAACTTCCGGGGATACTCGTAGCCAAGGAAGTCCTCAGCGTTCATGCGCGAACAGTCTCGAAATTTTCTAGAAAAGAGATGATATTTGTTTTACAGTGGATCTTCCAGGGAGGAAGTAATGCTTCACACCGAGGGGACGCCACGAGCGAGTCGTCTGACCGAACTCGATCAGCCGAGCCAACCAGCAAACCGGTATGCCGTAACTTTAACGTTAGAAGGATCGACCCGATACTGGACATGATGGAATTTTTGTGTCACAGGCTAGGGACTTTCGGATCCAGATCTCACAGGCGACGGTATGTCATGTACAGCGTTATAGTTCTATGGTTGACAAGACACGAATGCTGTTTACAGAATGGCGGCCTTGAAGCCGATAGAGAACAAGAGAGATCACCGAGCGGCCTCCATGATCGCTCAGATGGCCAAAGCGGGATCCACTGGGAGCCGCGCGTCTCATCCGGACCCCAACCTCGCGGAGGACCTGCAGGATAAGATGGAACACCGCTTTGACATCGACGAGATCCAGGTGAAGAACGAACAGCTCGCGATCTGGGCCATCGAGAACGGCTTCTCGCTCTTCTCCACTCGTCTCAAGGCCCCAGTCTTTCGAAGGCTCCTGGTAGCGATTCGCTGCTTCCTGCTGCTCCAGAGCTTTCCAACCGCGGAGAGCTTGCTCTTGGCCAAAAGCGGAGTACGTAGACTGGGGTTTTTGAGCTCTGCTAATTTGACGTCTTGTTTGGATTGATGTTGTAGGAATGCCTTGGCAAAAGCATTGTCACCACTGTCGCGATGGATAAAAATCATGACAATTAGTTACATTTTTTGCTACCACTCTATGGCTGATTAGTTCTTCACATGAGGCAAGCTTTCAGTTTCAATTTCAGAGCGATCGAAGAGTTAAGTTTCACTAGAGTGCAGTGCTTTCGCTCTAAACACTAATGTTTTTTTTTTCCTTTTGTTATTATCGTTTTGTCAAAGAGCTTTGCAACAGTTAAGTGTTCCATTGGCAAGAGTTATATATGCTTCCATGTTGAGTCGTTTGGACGAATAATCAGTGCAAATCAACTGGTATTCCTCAACCTTGCAATTTAAACCTTCCCCACACGAATTTATAGGCAGTGTTAGATTTTTCCATGAGCCAGCAACCATGCATATGGCTTTTAGGACTCTAGTTTTGAAAGACATAATGATACAGCTCCTTAGAAAGCCACCACAAGGTTGGTTTGCACATCTCTAAACATGTTATGGGGAAAAGATTACATAGTCTCCATAGAACGAAAAGCTTACCACAATCGAAGACGTGCTTGCTAAGACGACAAATATTAACAGCAAAAGCCTTGAGAGACCCATAAACTCGCTCTGAGCATAACCCCGTATTAAAATAGTTAATCCTTAGGAATACTACTAACCATGCACATACAAATGTCATACTTGTTAATATAAATATGATTTAATAAGCACTATCTATAAATATGGCCTTTAAACCTTTTAATTACGACAAAGCTACCAACAAGGAAACCACGAGGAGAGCAGCACCACCTCTCCACACAGTACTAGCAGCCGACCAAGGCGTGATCTCCACCCGAAACTGGCAGTTCCCACTGGAAGGATCAGTCTCCGTGATCATCCCCAGCCCTCCAAAGTGGCAGCTCTCGGTACGCTGGTTGTTCATCTGGTAGAAGCTGTTGAAAGCATACGAAGCATTCCCTGTCCGTCCAATGTGGTTGCAAGATCCCCCGTAAGCGAGCGTGCTACAGTCGGCATAGCTGCAAGCGTAGCTTATCGTCGCCGGAAGCTTGGAGAGATCGTCCACTTCCGGATTGAGAACGCACCAGCGCGACGGGAGGTAAGTCACCCCGGAGACGCTCATGAGGTTGATCGGGCTGCTCAGACCGTTTCCACCGCGGCCGGACACGTCCAGCGAGTACTTCGGCTTGCCATCGTAGCGGTAAAGCCCCCAGTGCCGCTCAAAGTTGCCCGGAAGAACGCTCTTCCGGTCCTCGTCGACGAGGCCGAAGATGTATATCTCGATCGGGATCCCCGGCCGGAGTGGTGTGCCTCGGTTGCTGGTTACGTGCCGGATGAGCTGCTGGTTGAACCGCTGCGCGTTTGGGATGTTTGCATAGATATCTCCATCGGTTGGCCAGCCGACCTCTCCCACGACGATCTCCATGTCTGGGAAACCTTCTCTCGCCAGCGCCGAGACGAGCAAGTCGTAGCTCGCGTCGAAAACGTTTGAGTAGATGTTTCTGCCGTCGGACAGGACGTGCGCGGTGCCGTCGAAGAAGGCGAAGTCGCTTGGGAAGTGAGAGTCTTGTTGCAAGCTGAGGAAGGGATACATGTTGATGACGAAGGGAGCTTTGTGCTTGTCCAGGAACTCGAGGATCGTTCGCATCAGCCTCCGGATGTCGGGGCGGATGGCTCCTTGCGATGGTTTGCCTGAGTTGCCGGAGCTAGTGAGAATGTCTGCGTTGAGTGGTACCACCAGCGTCACCTTGTGTTGGATCCCGGCCTGTTCGATCGCCTGTTGCATGTTTCGGATGGCCGGGATGGTCACGTCCTCGTATGATCCGTTGTAGGCTTTGAGAAAAGGTTCGTTTCCCACCGCAATGTACCTGTGAGATCCAAACCAATCACGAATGGATTAAATCAAGCATCTCGAGCTAGCACTAGAAAAACTTATCTTCCTATCACACTGTTTAGCTCCAAAACGTGTAGACTGATCGCTCTAGAAATCATATGAAACAAAAAGAAAAGGGGGAAAAGTTCCTATCATACTTTCACGCTTTCCAGATTCTTTGCAGAAGCATAAGCTCTAAAGTGACTCGAGCATCCAGGAACTGTACGTACGCCTTTAAGCACATTCTGGGCACTCAATGGCTTTGAGAAAATGTTTTTCTAGAGCTGGTACCACCCCATAAGTGCCAACACTTTTCTCTCCTCACTTAAAAATCCTTTACTCCAAAGGCTGGAACAAAGTGGAAGAGGAAGAAGAAACGAGAAAAAAACTCCCTAGAAGGCTGGGTATGGAAGAGCAAGAGTGTAAATACCTGATATTGACGCCATCTTGGTGGGATAAGAACTTAGTGATGTTTCTTCGCACAAATCTCCGCGCGGCCTTCTCGCTAAACGCCATGTCCTCGAGGAGATCGTTTGGAACCGCCACCATGAGCTCCAAATCGGTCCCTGCGAAGGCCCGGATCACGCTGGGATCCGCGTCGAAGAGCTTCACCTTGGAAATCCGGCTTTCCTGGAGCAGCTTGACGATCATCTTGTCCGGGAGGCGGTGAGACGTGACTGTGCCCCAATTCACGCCCACGGAATCCACGCCCGTCATCGCTGCCAGCGCCACCGCCGCTGCCACGAGCGCGATCAAGATCCAGCGCCGCGACGGGAGCGCGATTGAACCCATGAGATCGCCGAGCGCTGGAAAGAATGGAGATGCTGGCGCTGCGAAAGAATGCGGGCGATCGATCGCCGCGCAAGAGTGTGAGAGGATTATTAGATAGAATGCGCCTCGCGCGAAGAAAGAAGAAGAGGAAGAAGAACAAAAAAATGTGTGAACGGTGTTAGGGTTTAAACAGGGGTTTGTTATATTTGGACGCCTGAGTTTGAGCCGCGATTTCCCACCTCCACGTGGAAGCATTACAGCCGTCGATATTAGTGACTGCTTGGTTGAGGTTTAGGGTTTACACAGGCATGGCTGGGGTTTGAGCGACGGGGATGCGCGATGGGAGCCGTATCGCTGCTCTTGCTGGCGTGCCCGACGAATCCGAGCGCCCGGAGCAGGATTCCTGCCCCGCATTCGTCTCGCCGGGGTAAGATTCTTGTCAGAGCGAAGGCAGGGAGCAATGCAGGGCATAATCTCGCGGTAGAGCGGCTTCGCAGCGCTCCCAGGCGACGGGCAGCCAATTTTCCTGCGGATTTGCCGTCCATCGAGCGACGGGATTCTGGCTGGCTTGGGAGCTTGGCGAAGATTTTGGGGGTTGGAATCGCTGTTGTCGCTCTGGCTGCCTTGGGAGCTCATCGCCCGGCGTTTGCTGCTCCTGCTTTTGTGGGAGAGGAGGAAGAGCAGAAGATCACAGCCCCGGATTTACATTCTAGATTTGTGGAGTGGAAGGACGGGTTTCATCGAGAGATGGAGCAGATGGGACCGATGAGGAAGAGATTGTTTGAGATCTATGGCTTGGACAAGAGGTTTGAGAAGTTCCGGCAGGGAATCGAAGAGAGGGAATTGATGTACAGGGAAGTGCTTGGTGTCAAGGACATGCTGAAAGAGATTGAGGAACTGGCTGGGAAGTCCGAAGCCCGGAGCCTCGAGGTGGAATTTAGAGTCCGCGGGGCTCTAGTGCAAGCCCGGCGAAAGTTGACGATGGGAGCTCGAAGGTTGCAAGGAGAGGTTTTGCTAAAGACGAGCTCGCACCTGGCTAAGCTGAGGAAGGAAGAAGCGTCCCTGATGAAGGAGCTCAACGAGGCTATGGATGGCTTTCCTGGTTTGAGAAAGAAGTTTGACGCTGCAGAAACGCAACCAGCAGAGGACGATCTAGGTGGCTCAACGAAGGCTTTCTCTCCGAAGTCGGAATCGGATGACCAAGTCGATGCTCAGGAATCGCTATTCTTTTCAAAGACCGAGGAGCTGAGAGCTAAAATTGTGAACGTGAAAGCGGAGCTTGTGGGATCCGAGTACGAGGGGTGGCTGAGGGCGTGGCACGAGATACCAAACTTTACTGCCATTTTTGCGGCGGAGCTCGAGGAGGCTGCCAAGTAAGAGTGCCTGTTGGAGTGAGCGAGACACTAAAGAATTCCGTTCTGTTCAGGTTCCGGCTGCCCGAACGTCTAGAGTCACGCATAGCGAACGATCTTAGAGCGTCAGGGAAAGAAATATGGGAGGAAAGTATTTTGCCACTGGCTTTAGACAAACAGGAGAAAGGCGTAGTGCCAGTCGACAGTACCGTGAAATCTGAGGTGGATGAATTGCTTCGACGGCATATCCAGTTTGCTGGTTCCGATGAAAGAAAAGCAGTGTCGGCTGTTGACGGAAAACTAGGATCGATCGAACTTTATTCTGCTCTAGGGGGAAGCGTCTCAGACGTTCCGGGCCCTGAAGCCGTGAAGACAATTTTGGGATGGCGGAAGTGGTGCTCGATCAAAAAAGAAGAATTAAAGCAGCACTTGCTCGACCATCCGGAGGCTGGCAAGAAATATATTCAAGAGCAGCAGGTATCTTACTTTCGATTTGAAGTAGTTTTGTTTTTTCTAATTTTCTTCTGTAGGAGAAATTGCTTTTAGCGAGGGATAGAGTTCTCCAGAACACTTGGTATAATGAGAAATCTCGGCGGTGGGAAATGTCAGACGCAGCGGCCATGTATGCTGTAGAGAAGAATCTCGTCCATCACGTAAGAATCCGGCATGACCTTCGTGTCATCTTTGTGGGCCTCAAAGGTGACGATCAAGAGTACGTTGTCGATGTCGAGGTAAGTAAACTGTAATTTCCTTGTTTTGGTGATCAGATTTTCTTTTTCAATCTTGTTTAGGATCTGAACGAAAGGTTGGAAGACGTTGGTGCCTTCGACGCGTTTTATGCTATGTTAAAGGAGAACAAAATCCCTACAGTGATGGAAAAAATGTGGATACCTTTACGAGAGTGGTCCGCTTTCCAGTTGATCAGGCTTCCTTTCGTCATGCTGATAGACGCTGTTTTGTACGTATGGAACTTGGGCATCGTTGCAGCAGCTAGAGACTTATACTTTGAAAGCCTTGACGCTCTTTTGGGAGAACTGATGGTGCGATTCGGTTACCCGGCAATTCTTAAGCTTCCTCGCCTGGTCAGTGTGTTGTCGCGTTTTCTTGTGTTCATTTTACAAACTTCTTATGACAGGTGCGAGAAATGATTGGGTTTGAACTACCAAAGGGGTCAGAGTTTCTTGAACCGACATTTCTTATGAAATGGCAGACGGCAGCCCAGGCTAAGTTTGATGCTCGTCAGATCGCGTTGCCGTTTTGGATGGATCTTCCACTTCGTATTTACGTGGTTGGTGTTCCGCTCTTGTTTGTCGTAACACGGGTGGCAAAAGCCATTTACCGTTTTATTGGACCTCCTCCACTGCCTAAGTCTCAGTATGACAAAGCTGTGGAACTACATATGAAGGTCTACAAAGAGATGACACCTCTTCTGAAGCAAGTAACTACAAATCCTATCAAGAGAGTGTTTGATAAGATGAAGGTAAGGCTCATATGTGGATTTTTGGTCGGTAAATTGATTACTTTTTATTTACAGAGAATACGAAAGCCACCAGTCTCGCTAAACGATTTTGTTGGTATTGAGACTTTTAGAGAAGAGGTAGATGAAGTCGTCAGCTTCCTGAGAGATCCGGGAGCTTTCAAAAAATTAGGTGCACGGGCTCCGCGGGTAATAACTTTGTCGTAATTGTTTTTCTGTCGGCCGCTTGAGCTTTATTTATGTTCTGCAGGGCGTTATCATTGTAGGAGAAACAGGAACCGGAAAGACGACACTGGCTCGAGCCATCGCATCCGAAGCGCGAGTTCCAGTCGTTGAGCTGCAAAGTTTTGATTTACAAGGCGGAGGGGAATGGGTTGGGCAAAAGGCTGCAAATGTTCGTGAGCTTTTTAAGACGGCCCGACAGTTCGTAAGTCTTTACTTTAGGCTGCTGTCCCGCTTGATTAATTGCCTTTGTGCAGGCACCTATTATCCTCTTCATGGACGACTTTGACGACTTCGTTGGCAAGCGAGGAGAGACCATGCATTTAGACACACAGGAGCTAGAGACTCTGATAAATCAAATGCTCGTGGAGCTTGATGGGTATGGCTTCTTTGTTTGATGTAAATTTTCCCTGTTCTAACTTACTGACCATTTTTTCAGGTTTGAAACACAGGAAGGCGTGGTTGTACTTGCTACAACTAGCCATCCTGAGAGGATAGATGAAGCTCTGCGTAGACCGGGACGAATGGATAGGACAATTAAATTGCTTCCGCCCAACAGAACTCAGCGTGAGCAAATGCTTCGTCTGATTGCTCGGAACACCATGTTTCCCCATGTGGTTGACTGGGTAAATTGGGCAGAGGTTAGTTCTCGCGTGTATAAATTTCACTTAACTGGTTAGAATCTTTTCTCGTCCAGGTAGCAGAGAAGACAGAAGGCCTTACTTATGTTGACCTTGAGCCTATTCCCGTTAATTTGCAACAATGCGCTACTCACTGGAAAACCAAAGACGAGGAAGAGCTTTTTAGTTATCTGTGCATATTAGATGTAACGTATACTGCTTTTCTACAGTGCACCAACTTATGTTTTTTTTTTTGGTTTGTTTTGCAGAAATATAACAAAATCGTACCAGAATGGATTAGGAAGACACCTCTCCTCAAGAAATGGGATCAGAGCGTGATTGATTGGCTCGGCCTCCGTGTTACCAAGGAGGATTTCGAAATGACTGTTCGGTATATGGACGTGCGAGGCAGATCAAAGCCAGGAATCGAGTTCCATGATCCTCTTTATCCGGTAAGTACGTGTTTTTCCCAATGTGTTTTTCTTGTCCTGGCTGTAACTTCTTGCGGCAGTGGACGAGAGAAACGAAGTATCCTCACGCGGTATGGGCTGCTGCTCGAGGCTTGCTTGCGCGTTTGCTTCCCAACTTTGATATTGTCGAATACATATGGCTAGACGAAACATCGTGGGAGGTACAAGTTGTATGTTTCAAGGAAATCATTTTTATTTCCAAGTTCTTCCATGTCAGGGGATTGCATGGACGAGGCTAACAAGGAGAGTTGAAGAAGGATATCTGGAAACGCACACGCAGACCAGAAACTACCTTGAGAAAAAACTAGTTTTATGCTATGCCTCTCACGTAGCATGCTGCATGCTAATGCCGGTCCTGGACAGGAACAACCTTGCAGAACCACAGCTTGAAGAGGCCAAGCAGGTTGAGCTACTAAACTTTTTTCTTACTCATTTGCTAGGGGAACTGTTTGGTGTAGATTGCGGCAGATATGGTCATGGAGTATGGATGGGCTTTGGATGACAGTCCGATGGTGTACCGTAGCAAAGGGGTGAGCACTAGAATGAAAATCTTGAAGCTTTCTTATCTTTGTTTGATGAACAGGAGGGCCCAATGGATATGGGCTTGCAGGAGATGACGGTGATAGAGAGAAAGGTCACGAAGGTAATTGATCATTACAATGGACCAGTCTTGTGTTTTCTTACTCTTGTTTTGGTGGCAGCTTCTCACTGTTGCTTGTGACCGAGCCAGCCAGATTCTGGCACGAAACAAACAAGTGCTTGAAGCTTTGGTTGAGCAGCTAGTTGTGCATGAAAACATCACGCAGGAGGTTTGATTGGGTTGTGAGCTCTTTCGGATTTAAAATTTTGACTGGTCTCAGTTCATGGAGAAGACTCTCAAGGAGAAAGGAGCAACTTTCGAGGGGGAGCCATTTACACTACAAGCTTTGGATTCTTCCTTACAGGTTTGAATTGATTTTTAAACTCCCTACAAACAAATGAATGCTACAGGAACAGCCTACAAATGGCACAGGG